CACTTGCATTTGCTTCTAAACAGCGTCGTGGCGCCTATAGCTAGTCAAGACGGTCAGATCAAGTTAATCGAAGAATAGTTTCACATTCCCTGCCTCGCATACACCCACTGCATGTAGATTGCAGCTGAAAAACTTGAGCACGTTGATTAAAAAAATTAAAAGATGTTGTTTACTGACAGGACTTTTACAATCAGTTAACTCCCTTGCCTCGGCAAGATTGTGCTCCTGTTACTCGACTGATAAATATGTCCTCAGGTGATTGATCACTAACATGTGAAAGCCTGGTCACAATTTTATGTAGAACTACCGCGTGACGAAATATATATTTGGATTCTTTGCGTCTCTGCCACCACGCTATTAGGGACCAAGGAGTTAACTAAAACACAGAGCAAATGGACGCACGTTTAATTACCCCCCATTACAATAGAAAGGGGGTAGAGTTTAATGACGCGCATACCACCAACAGCGATGTTGTATTTGGTATGAATAGGAAAGAATACTTTTTGATTGACGTACGTGGGGACCGCCCCTTAAACAAAATGTGACAACAGAGTACCAGGAAGGTAATCCTTCGAGCCATAGCCTACATCCTGACTCAGTTGGGTATGTTCAGAAAGGGCTCAATAAATACCTCACCTCGTGACCTCACTGCCGGGCGTGAGCATCGACATCTCGAACCTTCCGTTGGCAACAAGTGTTCTACTATACATATATCACATAAAGTATCATTCAAATTTGGTTCATCTGTGTACGACAGCTGCACTGGGTATGTACATGTAGTCAGCAAATACAAACACGTAACACTAATACTGCTGCATAAATGTGAAGGGTTATTTGACAAAAAAAATAAATAAATTAAATAACGGTTCAACATTCAGCAACATTGTAATTTAAATGAAATAACATACAAAAACTTCATTACCAAAAGCCCAAAGATTCTGTTCTCGAAGTAGTTTTCATTTTGTCTTAGTAAAAACGCAGATGTAAAAAAAAGACCAACGTATTAAAGCAGAACAACATGTAAGCCTTTTCTCGTCAACATGTGCCGATGGCGTTGGTCGTTGCCATTCTTTCAATTACTAGTTTGTCTGGTCACGATAAAACATTCAATTTCATTGTTTACTTGTGTCAATTGCAAATAGAATGAATAAAAATTGTAACGAAACATATACTAAATACATACACTTGTGACATCAGATGAGGAAATCATGCTTGTTTACTGACAAACTAACTTGTAACAGTTCTGGTATGTAGATATTATCATGTAAACGAATTAAACAGCTATCGCAAATACATGTTGTTTCTCTCAGTATAGCCGGTAAGTACTGGGCTTCTTTACTGTTATCCCGGTAAGTACCAGTGCCTCAGTGTCTTTTGCCACTTTCAGGTAATCACTTAGGATTGAAAGAGGTCTCTGGTTTGACCGGTCATTGTACAATCAGCTGAAATATCGAGTAACAGTCAAAACAGTAAAAAGCTTAGTGTACAAGGGGTTTATTAAAGTAAGATCATCAAATATAAAAGATACAGAACGCAAAACAAAAATTAAAATACAAAAAATTATTTTGCTTTTTTACCCATAAGGTAAGCTGGGGTATTAAATGTTCTGTAATAATTGATGTTATTTTTTCAAATCATAACTCGGCTTTTTATTTATCGCCGGTACTACATTTCATTCGTTCATATATTCATTCTATCATCCACTTGCTGTTATCAAATGTAACGTTGCATAATTCTGGAATCTGATTCCGAACAAATAACTGCAACTTGATAAATATTCAGTATCCTCCCATCCATCCAGTTGTGGTATGCATGTCTGGCATCAATTGGTTCATGTTCGAAATCTTTAAAAGTTGCTTCCTGAGCTGCTGTAACAACACGTGTGACCCACTTCAACTGGCATTCTCGCACTCGCCGATGTTGACATTGTTGATGTTGAGAATTCACAAGCAGGAATAAATACAGAAGCGTTGTTCCTGGTCATTTAGACACTTAAATCTTGAACACAGCGTTTTAGTATACATTGAGAAAAGCGAAGAAAATGAAGAAATGCTCATCCATATTCTCGTAGTATCGACTCGATCCGTGTCTATCACCGTGTTAAGGATTGACTTTCTCTTTGTATGAGAACCTTAATACCAGCTGTATCGCGGAATGAAGTAGTTCTTCAAAAGGAGAGGTGACATGAGCGTACGCATGTTCACAGTGACATCTTTTGTAGTTTGCTTACAACAAATATATTCAAGTTATATCAACATTAGATGTGAAAGATATGCCATAGAACTTCCTCAATAATCCAATTACAATGACAGCGCGTCGTAATACATTTACGTAAAGTAACGATAAAAGTGACGGGAGAGATTTCCGAATGGTACAGTCTAACTGTGTAAAATTACTGAATTTTTCGCCTAGGCAATTTACAAGAAGACGATATATGTTTAGTCATTTTACATATATATTTCAATGTATTATATTATGCTAACGAATTCCAAACATTCGTTGCTCTATTTCATCACCCAATGACTGAAAATGATAGTATTAAAAGAAAATGAAAGTCAATGTATATTCTTTTAAGCTTTGGGCTTCTAATCGTAGCATAATTAGTCTGTTGTGATGCTCTTTTGAACTTCTTAATAACTCCATTAAGCCACATCAATCCACGAATAGCGGAGATGAGGTATTAAATAATAGTTAACTTAGATTTTTCACAAAAACATATCATGATATTGCATGAACATCCTTACTTCTTAGAAAATTTACAGAACTAATTGACGGTTTGTTGTGTCTCTCAGAATACATTTCTGCCTGTGTAGTGCTGCATAAAACCAGTAAGGCCAGGAATGTACCTTTGCCAGCTGTAAATGGAAACAACAGCCAACCAGCAAAGCTAAGGACACAAACGCAAGGTCTGCCAGCCATCACAACTGTAGCAACAGTAATTATACATAGGCAACACTTTCCATGTAAATATTTTCTGTTGGTAGTTAATAATGAATACACTGGTTATAAATTCCAGTTACCTAAATGTAAGATACATGTACTAGCTCTACAAACTATTCTTCTGGTTTGTTAATTTTCTTTTTCAGATGCTCTCTTTTTAATTTCAAACATTCAATTTCTAAGTTTTTTTTGTTTGTTTAATGCTTACACGGAGGCTGATGCTGGCACTTGCAAGTTGTCCTCTATGACAGATGATACACGTGGGCCATGTCCTCAACTGTACCGGTCTGATCTTCCCCAGTGACCATAATGGGACTGTAACATGATTTGTAAAATATCCTCCAGAAAGGAATTAAGATTATTTCTGTATTGTGAGTCTCCTTTTTGTTAATTCATATACATATACTCATTTTAGCTTCTTTGGTCTGAACATGATCGTATATAATGTACTGAAACAATAACACTCCTGAATACTAAAACAATTATGCTTGTGAATAGTGAACCAATACTGCTTGTGGATACTGAAACAATAATACTCCTGAATACTAAAACAATTACGCTTGTGAATACTTAAACAATTACGCTTTTGAATACTGAAACAATAACACTCCTGAATACTAAAACAATTATGCTTGTGAATACTTAAACAATTACGCTTGTGAATACTGAAACAATAACACCCCTGAATACTGAAACAATGCTGCTTGTGAATCCTGAAACTGAATTGTTCGCAGGACATGCTGAATGTCCTGAAAGAAATTAATACAATTTGTGACCTGGCTGTTTCAGTGCGACCGTACCAAACGGCGGCGTGCATGGTTCAATTATTGCTCAATCAACAAAGTCTGCCTGTTCGTTGTGATAAAGCTGTGATACTGCTCACCACAGCGAAAGACAATATTCCCTGACCCCTTCACTGCTCATTCCTCATATCACTCCGTCCGAGAGGAAACTCCCAGCTTGAAAGATCATCACACAATTGCATGTCAATACATGCCTTCACCTACATGATTTTGGGGATTGGTCTGTGGCTTCTTCGAAAAGAAAAGAGCCGACTTCATTGTGCCAACCAAACCACTGACTTCTGTCTGGGCTGTCTCGTGCAACTGCCTCGACGTCGTGTTGAAAACCCCTCGGTGGAAGTGCTATGGTTTCCTTTCCCCATGCAGAGCTGCCTATTACAAATGGAACAAACTTTACATCTAGGAACAAAGTGTATAATAGATTTCAGACCCAATTATCAAATGACGTAGCTTCTCATGTAGAGTACAACAGCATTGCTTCGGGCCTCTATAAAGTGGTAGCCATTGTGGTATTTTACCGCAGCTTCGAGCACTAGTGTTCAGGCTTCTTTCCGAGGAAAGGGGGTTAACTGACAATAAAAGTCCAGTTTCCACCCTTTCCGAAATTGGCTGAAATTGCGGGGCTCGAACGCAGAGCCACCTGTGGCTATTGCGAGTTATGTCCCCTCTAGGTTCCTCCTACTGACCAACCAGATTCCACCTTTCATTCACTTCCATTTGCTTCCAACAAAATGGCGGCGCCGACTCAGGACGGTCTGGTGAATCTAATCGCAGAAAACTACCCCTGCCTCACAGACACGTAGTGCGTGTGGATTATAGCATAAAACTCAGGTGGTTGATCACTTATTTGTGAAAGAACTGCCTGGCCCCAATTTGAAGTAGAACTGAGTATTTGTGTTCTTTGTCTCTGCCCCACCTCGCCACTTCAATGCTAGGCGTGAGCATCGACATCTCGGACCTTTCGTTGGCAACAGATGTTCTACTGTACACATAAATTATCATTCAAATTTGGTTCATTTGTGTACGACACCTGCACTTGGTATGTACATGTAGTCAAACACGTCACGATAATACTGCTGAATAACTATGAAAGACTGTTTGACAAACACAACACGGTTAAATCAACCTTCAGCAAAATTTGAAATTTGTTTTAATTCAACCTTTCATAAGAAAATGTACAAAAACAGTATAACATTCTACATTAAACGTCTTGAAATAATCACAAAGATTCTCTGAGCGAAGTAGTTTTCAGTTTATTTAAATAAAGGTGCAGTTGTAAATGTATTTTATTTTAAGAACAAATTACCAACGTATAAAGCAGAATAATAAAAAATTGACAGAAAGCATATAACATCGATAATTAGCATTACATTTAAGAAACAAGGAATTCCATGGTGGATTTATGTGTTCATTTATATGACGCAGAATATTGTATTTGTTGTAAAAATTTATATAAGCAACAAACAACATTTCCAGAATCATTTGAACTTTCTACAAAAAGTAGAGTCCATTTTACGATTCCGACTATGTCATAAGCATGTGTTCATCATCAATATTGGATCGTGATTGACGAACCCAATCCTTATTACATTCCTGTTGTTGGAATTGTAAAACAGGCTCTGATTTCAGTGGAATTTCTCATGATTCTGGAAATGGGTTTTGCGCCTTTACTTATTGAACAATACATGTGATACGAACGATAGGAATCGTATAACATCGAAAATTGACATTGCATTTGAGGAAGTAGGAAGTAGGACGTCCGTGGTATATGTATTCAGTTAATATATCTCGGATATTTAACTTTTTGGCAAATAAATAAAGCGACACAATTATGTCAATAATCATAAGAAATCACTGCTAAATGCAGAGTCCATTTAACGATTGCGACTATATCAAAAGTATGTACCCATGATAGTGATTCATAAACGCTTGCTTATGATATGCACGTTGTCGGAAATTCCTTATGATTATGGAAATGTTTTGTCTCTTTTATTTATTAGTCAATAATCCCAGTGCATCTTCTAAATATGTTTATAATACTCTTCGCACACCTTTCACATGTAACACAGGCCTACAAGCATCCTACTAATCGAAACTCTCTCTTTCCAAAATAATAGATTTGAGGATGGTACTGCTCATCTATAGTGTGCAGGCAACACAGCTTTATGTTGTGGCCATCCGAGTTCTTTCCCCATTGCATTGTTCTTCTTCCCTGTAACAGAAAGGAATGACAGTATGCCGCCTTGACGGATCAGAATTCCGTGGGTAATTTTTAGACAGTCTCATCAAGGCAGGGTTGTTTCAGATCGTTAGGCCTTAGAGTTACAGAGGCAATGTGGTAGGAACGACTCGATCACATGAGCGCACTTGAAGGTACAGTTCATGTCAACTAATACACCGAAGACCTGAGGAGAGTTAACACATAGAGAATCTATGATTGTCTACTGATATAATCTATATATAGAGTCCTACCATGTTAAGAGACAAGAGGATGAATTTCTATTTATCATTTGAAGGTTTTCCAATTGTAAACAGTTATAACCACTTAAGAAGTACAGCTAACCAGCTTCAATGTTAGTGAGATCGGTTAATTGTGATGTCATGTTAACTGCTGAGGTGGTCAGGTTCTAATCATGTGATATCTCCCACGAAAGCTAGTTTTATGGTGACAAGTGTTTTCCCCTGTTTGTTGCAAGGAGGGACTACAATGTTAAAGCGTAATTATAATAGAATTGAAAATGAAAGTGGATTTAACGCGGCTTTGAACAGTAGTCCACGGCATGTTATTTATCGTGAGACGAAAGACAAAGGTGAATTTGTTTTTCCTTCGTCTAATATCATAAGAGCTGTTCCATTGTGTCGTATAGTCGTTGACTGACCCATTCTATTACTCCGTTTGCATGCACAGAATGACGCCACAACGACGATGATGAAGAGAACGACTGCCCCGGCAGAAGCAGCTACAGATATGAGAAGAAGCTGTCCAGTCTCAATCTTGCATCTCGACTCTGAAGCACATTATAACACTTGTTTATGAATATAGTAAGTATGTATTGATTTCCACTACATTTCAGCATCATCGAATGTTCACCAGACTAGCCAGTGCTTGAAGGTATGAGCAAAGATTCGCCCGTTGGGGTACGATGACTGTCACACAACCAACAATGTCACATTATACACACACATGCCTTCGGCTTTTACCACATAGGCCAATGGGGACTTTGTGTTTCCTCAGAAATCCCCGTGGAATGTTTTAACAAATCATAGCAATGTAGATGACACAGACACGAAAAGGTAACGCCCTAACCATAATTGATAACATTTCACAACCCATGCACTTTCAACCAAGTTATTAAATAATAGTTATTAAATTATTGTTCGGGGCTACAACAAACAAGGTCTTTGTAACGATTTCAAAAGGTTTAATGGTAGACAGGGGGGGGGGGGGGGGGGGGTACATTTCCCAATTTAATGCACCAGTATCAAGAGCTGTATCTGATGCAATTCCCTAGCTACTAGGGGTGACATTTTCGTGTTTGTCTCGTGAACAACCGATTTGCCTTTCTGTGTGTTTTTGACGAGTGACACTGATGAGGGCACAATATGCCAACCTTTTTATGGACACCTGCTATCATTGATATTTGATAGTGATACATAAACACATGCTTGTGACATAGAGATTTCTTATGATTATGGAAAGGGTTTTGACATTTTTATTACTATTATTCTGGATAGGATTATATCGTTTTTATTTTAAAGGATATGCACGGTTTCAAAGGAATCAGGACATCGACCTTAAATGCCCACAGTTTACATTTCATGTACAAAGTACAAACAGTACTTCACCTGTTCCTGTTTTCCATGTTCCCTTGTTGTCGGACACGTCACACATCAGACAGTTGTTTCCAGATTGTTTCGCCCCATGAGGTACACACGTCCCTCTGTCTAGGCAGTGTGGACCCTGGTGTAGAATAACAAGCTTCCTGAGTCCCCAGTACACTCAGCTCCAGATGTAACTAAATCAGTTATGCTCGAGGTTGACTGTAGTTTAAGACAAGCAAATTGTAGACGTAGTTTAAGGTATTCATTGTCGTGAATTGGAATATAAGGTTAATTGAGTTTTGTCTTTGCTATAAATTTCAAATAAGAACAATCCAAGTACTACATATGAATATACCTTCACTGTCCACTTGAACTTTGTTTCGCGGTCACCATCAACTCGGATACATGTACTGTTAAATACAATCAGACCCACACTGTCACTATAGTTTCCGGGACTGTTGGCAATCGATATCCGGTAGGCACGCACATACTCGACATCCTCACTTCCGGTGTTGTCATTGGTCTCTATTTTGCACTGCGCATGGCCGATGTTGACCACGGTTGCCGTGTATATTTTTGATACTACATTTTCTTGTTCTGATTTTCTAACCTGAAAGCCGATATTGTGGTATTATCATGCATGCATTATATAAAATGTAGGTTTTGTTTGCTTACGATTTATACAAACAGAGTCACAGAATTAAAAAAATACTTCCCAAGCACATTAACCATATTCTTGCTGCGAAATATGTTTGTTACCAATCACCACTCTCGAAACATGACTTAAATGATAAGTACAGACGCATTTATTTTAAGATGAGGGTCTATTGTAACGCTTGGAGTATCTTCAAAAGATGGTAAACTTAACGAATTAGAACATGTTTACCCTGATCTCTTCAACCAAACATGTTGATACACCATCGACAAACGTCTCGCCTTTCACGGAAACAACGTCACATGCCTCACGTGACATGTCGCATGTGTCAACCGTTTCCATTTCAGATAGTCGAGGGGGAGCTGTGAGGTCAACAGAACAGTCAGAGCCGCCATGGTTGCTTTGGCACACGCAATCACCTGTTAAAATTGTAGGGGAGGTAATTAAAAAGAGGCTAAGATGCTTTCAAACCTATATTTCAGGAATATGAAACTATCGGGAGAGATTTCTGATAACCTTTTGGCGTATTATTTAATTTCGTAAACATCCGGGCATCAAATACTAAAACGACTGCAAATCTGAAAACAGGTCGTGTTTATCTGGGAATCTTACCATTTGTACATGTTCCTTTCCCGCTGCAGTCGTTCAGACAAGCCTCGGCCAAAACAACGTCATAGACCGACATGTTCCTCGTCTCATTCTTAACCCTGAGTTCCGGGTCAACCAACACCTCATGCAGACACTTGTCTCTCACCGCGTCGATGGAGAAACGAAAAAAGTCTGTGGTGCCTGTCAACTTCGAAAGAAATCCGAACATGATATCACTGTTTATCTGTTCTCACATGATGCGTAATGAATCTTTATTCTCAGATGGTATATATTGAAGAAAAGTGTTTATATCCACACAAATGTTGAGATGCTGATTGAATGAAACCCCAATTTTTTCTGAAAGGAATTTAAAGATGAAAGCACTATTTGAATGTGCACTTCTATGACCAATACGTGAATGTCAACTTCAATATGCAATACATGAATGTGCCTTTCTATGTGCAATGCCTCAATGTCTACTTCTCTGTGCAATGCATGAATGTCTACTTCTCTGTGCAATGCATAAATGTCTTCTTCTGGGTTCAATACATGAATGTCTACTTCAATATGTATGTGCAATACCTGAATGTCTAGGATACAGTTTTCTATGCTGCCGCTTATGCCAACGCCCGATACGTTTTTGCACGCTTGTACTGATCGCGATTCCTGGAATATGTTCTCACAGAATGTCCTTGCCTTGACCTCTGTCCATCCGCCTGACCACACCTTCACAGCTTGCTGCGCAAAACACATACAATGTAGTCGCAAGATTTGGTATAACAATCTAAAAATCCTTTAGCATATTTCTTTTACATGATTGGTATTTATCATGTTTACCAGCAAAATGAATATCAAATTAGAAAAAACATAAAGTAGTCAGACGCTTTGTTGAGTCAAAATATACTCACTGAGTAAAAGCATAAAGTTCAGCGCTTCAAACGTAGGCACAGAAAATAACATGATAATTATTATGATTAGTATGGGTTCTTTTCCGTTCATTACCGTTATGACAACATCAAAAATAAAACAAATACTTGTTTAAAAATGTAATTTCTTACCCGACGTAATCTCCTTGGTGATTCCGACTGAACACCTGCAGCTCTTCTCCGTCGTCTCTCAGTTATTGTGCATGACGTCGGGAACACGTCTTTGAAGCCCGGAAGGGTGTCACACACCTTATGAATGGCTGCAGTGCAATTTACTGCCTCCGTGAGTGTACCGGGTTGAGGACCCGGGGAACAGGAACAATAAAAGTTTGTCCGTGGCCACGCTGGCAGTGATGCATGGGCGTCCGGATCAAACAGGTTGCTTCCATTATCAACCCTACAACACACGAAGTACATAAACGTTGCAATAAATCTGATCCCGACTGCCAGAATTCATCCGGAGAAATTATAATTCTGCGTTCATGCTATCACTTTTCAAAAATATTAAATGTGTATTATTGTATGTATACAACGTAATATGAATCGGTTTCATGTGGATTACGGGGTAGATTAATTCGATGTACAATTGGCTTGTGCGGAAAACTGATTTTTGAGGAACGTCTGGCTACAATATAATAGAACATTAATTGATATCGTGTGAATAACGGGGAATTACGTGTAGATTACTATGCTTGTAAGGAGAACCTATAAATGATACCTGAATTAATTAAGGAGTATCTAGTGGCTACAATGTGTGACATGATTGATTGTGCCTCATCGTCTGCTCCAGATTCAGAGTATTGCGAGTATTGCTGACTGCGGCGTAACACAACATTCACAGGCAAGATCGAAAAAAGGCTCACTTCCATGAGTTCGAGAATGTTGTGAGAAGATTCTGCCAGACGCTGTATGTAGTTTCACAGTCACCCGTAGCCGTGACGTCTGTGGAGTAGGTGCCGTCCCTCAGGAAAAAGTCGTCGCTGCAGTTTCCTGATAGTGTCCCACAGAGACCACGGGTGTTATTTACGTCTTGGATTGACGGGTAGATGTAAACGTTCAGGTAGATGTCATAGACATTAACAGTCACTCTTCCTCCAGTTGGCAGATACACCTATGGAAGAGTGTACACATGGCAGCATCACTATTTCATAGTGATTCGTACACACGTGCTCACCACATGCTTAAAACTTTGCAATTAACCATTCACCTCTCCTCCACCATAAGTGCTTTATGTAACCTGGTGTGTAACATTGCGCTATGAAGTTGACCACATTCAACAACAGTCCTACATCCCATTTATACATGTACTAATACACAGCCAATCTATTTTGATTTCTGTTCCATGGTGCAGTACTTTACCAGGGGAACTATATATTTTATTTTATTTATTGATTAAATATTAAGGTATTGAATATTTCCGTGAGTTTCATCGAGATGTTTGAAAGAGGCCGTAACAAGTTTTAACAGAAACGAATTTAACATGATGAACCGTTACCCTGACATGACATACGTAGATCCATTTTGCAATGAGGAAATATATTTAATTTAGCAATGGTCATCGACTGAATATACGTGACATCACGTGAAACAAAGGAAATAGTATACCAACAAACGTAACAAAATATCAAAAATTACCTCATAACTTGTGTCCATTTTCTTGACCTGAAGTACATCTCCACTGTCTTCACACAGTGTGTATTCTATTGTCCAGATACTGGACTGTCCCGCGCACCTGTTGAACTCAAACACCGTCCTGCCAGCTCGTATAGCAACTCCACAGTTACACCACGCGTTGTACGTACCCCAACCACAGTCCGCTGTCTGTATTTGAACCTGTAGTGATAACGTCATTAAAATAATTAATACATAATTATGTCAAATACGGTTTCATAGATGGGTATTATGCTATAGAAGCGAGAAAACCCTTTCCGAAATATCTGCTAAAAGCATTTCCAATGTAAGAGTATTGATAATTCTATGTACCATATGCCTTTCAATCAGGCAATTTTTTTCTATGTGCGATGGAGCCAACGTTGGGGCGTTGAAGTTATAAGAAATGGGGTTTAACGTCGCGTCCACGTTTTTTGCATTTATATATAGCGACGTGCAGGCACGTGTGTTTGTGTGTGTGTGTGTGTGTGGCTGCTTGTACTGGTCCGGACTAATGATATTAAAGTACTAGCCCACTGAGATACCATGCTGCTGTTTAACATGAATACCCCACTCATACACAGTATACTGACTCCGAGTCGACCAGTCTTTGTTTTTTTCCCTTAATGCTGAGCGCATTACAGAAGACAGGGAAACAACAAGAACCATCTTTTAACTTCTTTTGGTATGACGCGGCTGGGGATCGAACGCCCGACCTTCTGCTCTCCGGGCGGACGCTCTACCAAGAGACCACGGAGGCGGTCGTAGGGGCAGTCATATCACAGAGGGTGTAATGACCAGATCCGTATTACATCGTACGCCCTCTGCCAGGATGAGATGGTTTTCCATATCAGCCCGGATGGTAAGAAATTGATGTTACGGCCCTCAGTGCCTCGTCTGCTCGTCTGTTCGGCTAGCGTTCCCATGACAAATACTTCCAAGCAAGGTGAGAATGTATTGCATCCTCTTGCAAATAGATACATTTTACAATTTGATATTATGGTATATAAAGATTATCATATGGCAGTTTTCAGATCATACCATAGCTCAACCCGAGTCCCCCATTGCTTGGGTTGATATGGTGTACATCAAACCTACGAATCCATATCTCTTATGCAAATCAAAGTTGTGTAATAATAATCTTTATTTGTTGCAGCATGAATTCTATGTTCCTAATTCCAATCGCAGTGCCATGAAAATGTCTGAGATCAGCAGGTACAACAATGAAGTGCAATTTCATTGATGCATGACGTAAACGTTTAAAAATAGAAAGACATGGGAGCCACGTAGACCTGCATCTTGTTATGGAGGATCTGCTAATACAATCAGCACGTCAGTGGCATATATCAAAATGTATTTACCAATTACTGTGCGGTGGCGCAATGGTTACACTTTTAATATTTGTTCTGATCTTAGACATTATATTATATTATAAATCTGACACAGCAAAGTTAGAGGCATGTCTTCCCTTGACATGTGGTAGAGATAACAGCAAATCAAACACAATATCTTCGATAGATTTGTCATGATTATTAAGTACTTATACATACCTCAATTGGAAAGGTTGTGTGGTTATACATAGTGAAGACACCTTCATATTGATGTTCGTATCGCCTGAAAGGTAAGAAAAAACGCGATGTCAGTCGATGCTTGAAAACAATTAGCTTAATGTTAAATTGCAAATCAATATATCATGTTCCATCACCGTTAGCTCAATACCTCCCTGACAGCATATGTATCTTTGTTTGACAAAGGAGTCCTGAATATTTGTGGTGATAGGTCGAGAGTTCCATGGGTAATGAGTAAGATCTGTGATTTGTCAGCACCCCACACACTTGCCCGAGGGTTTTACCAAAAAGGGAAGACATTCATACATAGTGATAGATATATATATACTTTTATTCTTCCATAGGAGAGTTACAAGGTATAATATTAAAGATAATTACATGACAATAATTACATTGTCAGAGAATACCACCACATACCACTGTGGTAACGGATTTTCTTAGTAAGTTCCGTCCATATATTGAAAACGGTAGAGTCCTCGAATTACACTTCGCGAGTAAGAGCGACAGGTATCTGGATCAGTATCCAAAGGTGGCTTACAGGACAACAAACAAGCTACAAGATCATAGTCTGATTTGCTGTGGAGTTCAACGCTGATGTCAACGGGACCTATACACACAATGCCACACCATAAGTTATCTCTTATTGTTTCCTTACTCACACAGTGGCACAGTACGTGAGTCAGTAAGTCATGGTAGTTAATACCACAATGTGTACAGGTACCATGTAATTTCCCCGGTCTCAACATCGCACACATGTGGACAACAAAACAGGCAGCTGCCTTTAGCTCAGGCTAGTCTCTAGCTATCCTCCACGCCACGTGTGGGGTCACATCCGGATGAATACTCTTAAAGTGCACAGTGTCAGGGTCTGATGAAAGTCTTTCCCGCCATGCTCGTACTTCAAAAGTATGCACGGCTTCTTTGACTGTTCTTTCCCATATATTCCGTTCCAGGAATGTACCGGAACTAAGAAATGCCTCCAGATGACAGTACAGTGAGTACTTGTGGAGGATGCGACATATGTCTGGGACAAAGCCCATACTTGTGGATGAACACTTATGCATATACATGAAGATACGAGTCATAAAAACCTTCTTAGAAAGCAGATGATTAGAACAGTTACAGAGGTGGCCAAGAAAGAGTAGCTTCCTGATGTTGATAAATGATTCTATGGGGAGCCAGCCGAGAAGAGCATTAACTATGTCAGACCTAGTATGACGTGGAAGTCCCTGTGCCATTTTGAGAATGGACCTCTGTGCTCTTTCTAAAGCCAGAATTTCTGCCTTCGAAATCATCGACCAGAGTTCACACCCAAACATAGCCTTTGGAATACAAACTGCCTTAATAAGTTTTGAGCTTGTCATGGGGTTTAGAACGCGTTCATGCAGTCCCGATTTGACGAGTGCCATGGCTGATGCTTTCATCTTCGAGCAGCTCTCAAGAGTTCTCTCCCATGAGTTAAATTCAGAGTTCAATATAATACTAACGTGCTTAAGCTTATTTGTCACTTGGATATCACGTCCATAGAGTACGACACTAGAAGCAACTGCTTTTCTGTCACTATATCTGACAATATGGCTCTTGGAAGGAGAGAAGGTAAACCGCCAGTCTGAACTATATCTTTCACAGATGGTCACCATCTTCTGCAGATTTGCTGATACTGGACTAACAATTGCTATATCGTCCGCTTGAGTGGGTGCCATTACATGGATATCCAGAATCACTGCACCAAGATTGCTGGTGGACAGTTTCTGTAACAGTTCATCTATGTATAGCAGGTAGAGTTTTGCCGACAGGACGCTTCCTTGCCGAACAGTCGGCAAAACTCTACCTGCTATACATAGATGAACGGCGGTTTAAATGCCTCAGTCACGTACAAATTGAACAGAGATGCAGTACCTTCTGCCAGGATCATTCTGATATCCTTTTGTAAATATTGTATATATGTCGTAAATTCCTACTGCAAAATGACATTTATTTTTGAGTGACTAGATTTGACAAGCCGATACAAATGTTAATTTATAATAAATATATGTAATTTTTCCTTGAAGTCGATTTTGGGCAGTCAGACAGTATTTTAATCAAACGTATACACTTAATTGTTTTTTGTTCATGACTAAACTATTGACATTATACAGCGAAATATAAATAGTAAGTTATGAAGCATCAGAAAGATTTACCTTCCATCAAATGTCAGCATGTGTGGGTCATTGGTAGCAGAACACCACTTATTCTCAATCGGCTTCGTATTCTTTATCAGCTGAACCTGATACATGCATGCAGTTTAAACAAACCAGATGTACAGAATGTAAATAAAGAATATAGTTACGCATTCTTTAGACAGTGGAGCTCCAATGTCCTCTGTACCATACTTGTTAAATATAGGTTTCGACATTTGTCTTTTCTTTATGTTTGTATTTTGTTGCTTGCTAGTTCTTCATCTTTGCAAATGTTCATATATGACAGTGGAGCTTACATCGCGTACAACACACGTGCGTAGATCATAGCATTGTATCACCATTCTATGTCAAAAGGGAAAAAATCACAGTTTTACCGTTATGACGCCGATAGTATAGTTGGCCCAAAACTTGTTGTCAAATGAATTGTCAGGGGTCGCCAGCTTCAGTTTTAATGTGTTACTTGACGATCCTGTGTCCTGAGAAACTTGACCAAATACCGTGATCGTGGCAGCTTTACTCCAATTCGAAGCCAAAATAACTGTTCCACAAGATGAACTTGCCAATTTAGCCCCTGCACAATTCGCCGTGGTCTCTGTAATAAGTATACTAATAAGTGTTACCTAAATGCCACATAACCTCACCACCACTGGTACCCAACGTTGCCATTGAGAATGATATTCGCAAGCATGACATTTGGAATGATAGTACAGGGATGATGAACTTGACCTAGTGTGACAGGACACCTCAAATGGATATTGGACAATTTATCCGAAACATGTTTGTCAGATCCGATGTCATTTTTCTGTGACTTCTTTCATAGTACAGTAAAAATATGGCACAGATACTTTCATGTAAAGTCTTACATATATGATAATAGGCAAGACAAGACATACAGTTCTAACGTTAAAACCAAGGCAGGGGTACTTTATGCATCTTATATGTACGTACCAAGGTGAACTGATTCTATGTTTAGCTCACAGTCGAAATTCCCACATCCAAATGGTGCCGTCAGCTGGAGGGATATGTCGGCGAACTCTCCTTCTGACAGCTGAAGAGTTTTCTTAGAAATCTGCAGGCGACAGTACACCAAAACTAAGTGTCAATGAACTTACATTTTGGAAAACGAGTTGTAGCTTGGGCTCACAATTTAGCAAAAACACAGAATAAAGCCAAATACTTAAATATGTCGAATATCTCGTTACGACCTTTACGAATTTGAATTTAGACAAAAGACGCTGACGAAGAAACTAAATTGTCAGTACAGAATATAAATGAAAACAATATTTTAAAGATAAAGTCATTCATTAATTATTGGTATGCGTGAATGTCGAGAAGAACAAAGGTCGTACACGTCGACCTATTTTCGTTTATATCGCATCGAACTACAGTCTGGCGCAGATGCAGTCAGGGGGAAAACGTAATAATTCACACATTAAGACAACTATAAGAAAGCAGGATTTTGTTTTTAAAATAGTTCTAACGTAAAAGATTTACCTTTATCCCAATAAACTTCGCGTCTGACAAGACAGGAACACTGGCTGCCGTGTCTTCTCTGACGCTAGCTCTGACTGAACACCGCAGCTGTTGTGAAAAGGCAAGAGTGGATTGATTAGGTCAAAATGTAAAAAAAACATATGTGTACGTAATTCCCATAAGCTGCCCAAATCGGCTCAACATGAAGTGGGGTTATACCAAAATCATTACAGTTCAGCCTCTTCACCATCAGTTCCGTTACCAATTGAAGACCCTCGCAACAAAAGTTAGTTTGAAATCCTTCAATGACGACTATCAAATATGTACCTCGAATCCAACTTGTTTTATGTTCACACTGGACAGTTTAGCCTCTGTCAGAGTATGTTTGTCTATAACACTTCCATTGTCCCACGTCATAGCATCTTCAGTGAGGACAAGTTCGCCGTTAACGACCCAGTTGGTAGCGTAGAAGACGTCATCATCGTGTTTGCTGAACTCACATCGGAACTCCAGCTTGCTTTCATTCGTATAATTGTGGAGTTGGATAGTGACAGTAGGTTTCAGAGGAAATGTTGGAGCTGTAGCTGGAGTTGGAGCTCAGAGTATATAATATACGAATATGTTTGTTATTGTATTACATTGTATTGTTTATATTGCAATTATCTTCTCTAACCCTCTAGTTGTGCCTGTACAGTTCAGTTTTATTTAAATATCTCATTTGTAATTTTCTCGTTTTCTCCATTTCTCTGTCCTCTCTATGAAGAAATGAGTTTAATATCTCACCTTTCTCTCAACACAGTACATGGTCAAAAACGTATTTTGAAAACTATGAATTCCAAACGGCGTTACTTACGGGTGGCTGGTTTACCTGCAAACAATATAAAAATATATAAATAAACCTACCCTAGCCTATAAAGTCTAAACTTAAAGCTTGAAGGTTACTGGTTCTATGCTTATAAAAAATTTCTTCGAGAACATACCTGAATTGGAAACTGAGCACTAATGCATGATAAATAGCAACTAAATACATCAGACATAGGATAGACTGCATTGTTCATGTCTTACGGATAGGAAAAGGGCGGACTTTCGTTAAAAAACAGGTATAATGGCCCAACCTTTTGATATAATGGGGGGGGGGGGGGGGGGGGTTACTGGGTATTTATATCCCTTTCTTTAAATTTAAACGGACCTTGCAACAGTGTAGTTTGGTGTCAGACAATTTCTTTTTGGGGGTTAACAGTCTGAAGAATAAGTATATTTTTCAAGCTTTAATTACATGTATCTGACGGCGGTTTAATACAATATAATAACAATGTGTAACGACCTGAATTACTTAAAATTTGACAAATAACTGTCTATTCATAGAGATTTAAGAGAGTATAATCTTACCAAAGCAATATGCACTCGAGGATATTGTTTTCTTCAAATTAAATATCTCCTTCGTGCCGCACATTTTAGTTTTTATGTTCATCTGCGAGATACAGATGTCGCTGTGACTTTGAAGGCACATTAAAGAGTTGTCACCGTTTTTTTCTGAAATACAAAAATTATGCGGGTTCACACATGTATCAAAATCACTGAAAACAATATTGTGTCACAAATTTAGTATTACAATTCCTTTTCTAGAATCTTCATAATATAATCACGATTTACTCTATGTATCTCTTTGGTAAAATGAATGTCAGATATGAACACTGTTGAATGTTTCATTTAGGTCATCAAAAAGGTTGCATTTAAAAATTCGTTTTAGAAACCTATAAATGAATTGGTCGGCTCTTGTGAAAAAGCAATTAGCAGTTTAGAAATTCTACTCCTGTTACAACTTGCTTTCATACACCAAGTTAATGAGTATAAAAGCGACAACACCCTTCCAAGGCCAGCACCAGCAAATAATTGCGATAAGAGGTGTTCGCGTAAAGGTGAGAGTAGCAAACACATGAAAGGCCAAGTCAGTTATGGTACAAGTCAAACAAGGGAATTGCACCAGACATAATTCTAGTCACATAAATGCATCAAATTTGTAAATGTCCTTCATTTATCTACCGTACAATGTTTTTAAAGATTTACTAAGGCCCCGAATGTTGTGACCATGATAAAACAACTTTTGAGCAAAACTTGTATGACGCTTTTCGAAGTCTTCGTCAAAAGAGCATACTTGATTGTACCTCAAAAGTTTTCAAATGTAGACACCAAAGGTTGGACCTGATGGAATATTGTTCGAACGTTGACTATTGGAAATTTGAAATCATCCCCCCTTGTCAAACATACTTTGCCATTTCCTGAAAAGGAATTGATTTACATCATACTTTAAACATCAAAAAGTCAAAGACTGACAAAATACTAACGTTTTCTCCATATAGGGTAACGAGTACCGCAGTGCTGGAAACCTGGTGCTGAGCCTAGGAATACTTTCCCTCCGGCGTCATACCACCCCTCTGTGAGCAGTCTGTCGTTGAGGGCTCTCTCTCCTGTTGCTAGGACGTATTCACGGTCTCGCTTCTCAAGACCAGGAACTTCCATGGGATTTAAGCAGGGATCTGGAACAAGGCATCTAGACTGAATCATTGTTATCTTTATGTATCCACAATATTCAAGTATCCCATGACCTGTTTGTTTTCAGCAATTTCTCCGAAACCATTTCACTGATGAAAAGATCTTTGGATGAGTGTATAATGGACAACTGTGATTTTCAAAAAGTCCGCCCTGACAGCCATATTGTTATTCCAATTAAAATATATTTGTTAATCATTATCTGATTATCAACATGGTATTGACAGATTGAAAACAAACATATATAAAACGTATGTAAATGGAGGTTACCTGCCCAGGATCCGACGATCCCGCACAAATACAGTAACACAAACACGTTTTGAGTCGCCATGCCTCTGTCTTCACTTCTTCAACAACAAAAATGTATTTGTTCAAACGATTGGATACACTTTGACCGGATTATGACAACAGAACTGAATATTACAAAGCCTGGTGTGAACTGATAAGTATGCGTATGGTTTGCAAGTGAATTGATCGTCTCGTGAATCCAATATGGGTAACTTTGAAAAAAATGTATAAGTAGACACTGACTTACTAAACAACGCAACACATCGAATAGTATTTTTAAAAATGTAATATAAGATGATACGAAAGATTGAGTGCGTTAGTAGGGTTATTTACGCCTCTATTAACAGTATTCCAGTTATATCACGGCGTGTCAGTTTTGTGTGGGAGGAAAGCTTCATGATGCATTTCTCAGACGTTACCATTTCGAGTTCGGGTATGGTGCTTACAAACCTAGAAACATAATCGGGTTCGAAAGGTATCCGAAACCACAATCATAAGTTTCTGATTTGCCCAAGGGCCACAACTCTGCACAGCAAATTGTTGTGCCTAAGACGACTGGGCCACCTGTACCCCCTGCTATGCTAGAATATACTTTTGTTTGTCAGCAGGCTGATCAAATATGCTGTTCCTTCACTGAAGGTCGAAGACACAGTCTACACGAACGTGTAGCGCGTAATAGCATGGTGTATGGAAACTTGTAAACCCATGGCCGAACATCGGGAACGTTCCATTCGTAAAATGTAGTTAACCACGTTAATGACACGTGTAATGAATGTATGATTACAACTGTACACGTTACAGCGAAATAGATCTACATTGTGACCGCCATAGGACTCTCCGTATGGTAACTCGAATTCCGAACAGGGTCAATTGTGCCGTGACAAGCCAGTGACGTCACAACAAGTATCATGGCGCCATGATATCCGCACGACTTGTCACACCCCGGCGCAGAGATGACTCAGACGACTTTGCATATCATGTGATCGGAACCTTTGATCAGATCTTGTTTGTAAACAAACGCGCCTGTTCTGAAATCCGAGCTGACTGACCTAATCAAAGCTTGGTTGTATACAGGTTGTGTGTATAATGATAATAAATATGCTACTGTCACAACACCCGTAAGGAATATGTCAATAAGCCTTTGCATATTAATGTGACCATATGGCTAGGTCTCAATTGAGCTTCGATGTCTCCTTGTAGAACCGCATAACTACGGTAAATAAATGATTAATGCTGAAATGCAAAACAAAACTGTTATCTAGATACATTTCCTAGGACCCCAGAGACATGTTACAAAGTATTTGTCTGGTTGTTTGTTTTGAACTAATGGATGTCTGCACCAGTAAACTTCAGATGTCAATTACTTTCATTTTTGACAAAATAGCCTGAACCTCTGAAGATACGTAATGTCACCACGTGTAACACATGCTACATGGATCAAGGAATGAAGTTCCTTTAGTTTCTCATGTGGGAAAGTGGTGTACAAAGTTGGAAATTCGAATGTTCTTTTCTGAGATTGTACAATGTCAAGGAAATGCTTTGGGTTTCGACGAACCCACATGGTATTAATTCCACTTGGACCGAATACTTTCTGTGAGAATAAAGAAATCCTTCCTCAGTTATATCAACGATCATGGTTAATCGTTGAAACAGGGATTTCGAGGAATATTTGCTGGACCCAGCACTATATCTCTTTAAACAGATTGTTTAGAGCTTTGGAATCCAGTACAAAAGAGGAATGGACATGTCTAAAGGTTTAAGAATCAACCTGATGGTACTGATTCATAGTTTTGGTAGATTTCTTCCTCACTTAACACACTGGCCTTATATGTGGCATTATTTCACACGTCACTTGTACCAAGTGCTTGATATAGTTCTTAGTATCTACATCGCATTCATTGTTATAAGGAATGTGTATATCCATGGAACTATCTCCCTTGTTCATCATACCAACTTCTAAATGCCACTGAATGAAGTTACACTACTGACCAGACCGTCACTACTGAATTGGGTAATCAACAGACAATTGATAGTGCCAATACCCACCCGACACAAATTGCCCTGTTAATCTCTAATCCACAATGAGATGACATTAAGTTGATCTCGCAAGTGGTTTGTTGTTTAACGCCGCACTCAGCAATATTCCAGCTGTATGACGTCGGTTTTTTAATGAGAGGTTGTTCGCGTAACAAGTAAATATACATCAGAAGTGTGTTGATGAAACTAGCGATGATAAAACTAACTTAATGTATACTTTGGATTAGATTGAGATAAAGATTTTAAAGCTCATTACTACCATTTTAGTTATTTGTTGTGTCTCATATCAATGTACACGTGTGTGACAATGCATACAGAAGAGGTAGATGATTCAAAAACAGCACGCAAGTAGTATTTGGTTAACTAGAAAATAAAGTGTTGACTTCTTCCATGTCCCTTCATTTTCTACTAATCAGGGTTTCATTGTAGTTTTGTTAGCTAAAAAACTAAAAAAACATAATCAGGGGGTGTCTGGAAGAAGGAACTTGTAGTCCTGAACTCCCCTTAATTCTGCCACAGACACATTTTATGAAATTGAAAGGCTACACTATCTCTCTGGCAATACTCATTGTGTATTTTAAGATTTACGGGTGTTCTTGAGTTTAACAAGCGTTAGACTGATATTTCATTGTTAGTACCTCTCACATCGAATACTCAAAAATACTCTTACCGGTAATGTAAATACAAAACGTCATCTTTATTTTTTCTGCAGCCCTGTATTTCTACCTGTTACCAAACAACCGTGAAACAGGCATGAAGTCTGTCTGGTTTGCTATGACAACATGAAACAAAACCTGTCGTCACACATCTGATTCCATGACAACTGTACGCATTGTTAAAAGAAAGCCGAGAGCAAACATGTGGAGCGAAGTTATTCTAGTAAATAACAGTTCCAAATGATGTCCAAATGTTTGTATAGTTGGAAATAGTTGTACTCTCCATATATCTTACCTGGTAAGAGATTCCTGCAGGCCCCGCACCACATCTGAAACCTACACTGATGTCCCACCTTATATACAAGATGGACAGTGGAACTACGTCATAAATAAATACACCAATCAACGAAAGGGGAATTCCCGAGGCTGGTTCAGACACGTGGCATATTTAGATCCTATATAAAAGGCTGAGAGACGTTTGTAAGGAAGTCATATTAATGAGTTGTGTGGCTTCACTCTTGAGGGTACTTGGGCACAAATGTTATGTAATCTACTAAGTTATTACATGAAAACTGTATGCTTACATCTGTACGAATGGGGAAAAAATATTATGTCTTTTTTGTTTATTTGTTTGTTATTCAACGCCGCACTCAACAATATTCCAGCTATAAGATGGCAGTCTGTAAATAATCGAGTCTGGACCATACAATCCAGTGATTGACATCATGAACATCGATCCACGCAATTGAGATACGATGGCTTTTGCGTGGATCGATGCTCATGATGTCAATCACTGGATTGTGTTGTCCAGACTCAATTATTTGCTGACCACCGTCACATAGCCGGAATGTTTCTGAGTGCGGCGTTAAATAACAAACAAACAACAAATACATGATATCATTTTCACATTCATATAGATGTATGTCACAGCGAATGGATACTGCGCATTCCTGTCATTTGCATCCAGTCTTCCTCCTTCTTTGCCAACCCGGAAGTTTTTTCATGAACATTTTACATTCTAAAGAATACCAAACTAAGAGAGTACAGCCTCAGAAATCAAGAAAACATTGACAACAAGTTTACCAGGGTGGAGTATGGTGAATGTGATGGGTTTTGAACCACTTTTATCAGCAATGATAAAAGTATGCCACTTCAAAAGGAAAAGACACCGCACTTCCGTTTGCTCTAAGTGCATGATAGTATTGACTCGGACAAAGGATCAGTGTGCAATCCAAATGCATTATCAGCTCCCGAATGAGTACACAAATCAAAGGCACTATTAGGTTTTACATTCTCATTACCATCTCATCAAACCGGGAACCCCATTGTGTAAAGTTCCAAACAAGTCACCTGTATGAGGAGACAGATGCAAATGTTTTTAACCTGCGTTTCAGTGTGGGGTAGCACCGAAGCCTTCTGAGTCTCAGTACTCAAGCTTTGATATACATGTAGTTTGATATGAAGAAGACTATGTCCCACGTCCCAGTAACCCTTCCATATTACAAATGAAGACACCATGCATAGATATCATATATTATACCATGTTTGGAATCGAACCCGTATCTACGGTGTCATGAGCAAACACTTTCACTACTAGCCTATCAACCAACAGAAGACTCGCTTTGGGTTTTTTTTTATATCTGAGAGTCTGTGTTGTGAATCGAACGCGTATCTTTGACCTGACGAGCAAACGCTAATAACCAGCTCAGACATACAGGTGAGCGAAGATCTAGCTCAGACATACAGGTGAGCGGTGATCTAGCTCATACATACAGGTCAGCGGAGATCTAGCTCAGACATACACGAGGTTAGCAAAGATCCAGCTCAACCTCTTGCCGATTCCTAGATACAAGGGCAGAATCAAATTTCAAACCAGAATCAAACCAGAAAGGTAGCCCATAACAAGACATATATACGTGCAATCAGTGAATTCAGGTTAACGCAATTATGATGGTGGAGAAAAATCACGGCCTGTTGCAGGAAAAACCCAAAGGGAAGCAGGTCTCGTATGTATAACACTTCGAGCACGGATATGGAGCTGACCAACATAGACACACAATCGGGGGGAACGGCATCCGACCCACGATCAAACGCGTTTTGGCGGGCCCATGGGGCACAACTCTGCACAACCTTGAAGTCCCTGCAGGGATGATCTAAACTGTATAAACATCAAATGCCTATCTGAGATAGACAGCACCTAAATAAAGGGAAATGTCAAAGGAAAAGCCTCGGGAAACTATGTTTATAACCATTCGAAAAGAAAGTTCTCTTCTCCACCTGGCTCGTTTGATAATTATGCAAGCTTCCTTGTCGCGAGAAGAGGCTGTGTGTTTGATCACAATGTAACACAGATCACTTTAACGATTTGTGTGAACTGTGTGCTAGAGGAGTCTCCCATTACAGCATAACATAATATACAGTTGATCAAATGCGAACATAAACTTCTTCAAGTGTATGGTTTTTGTCCAATCGTGTGTATACAAAGTCAATTTAGTAGCAGTGTATTCATGGAATATTCCGTTTATTGATGGTTTGGGATATTATTACACACGTATATCATACATGTACCCGGAAGGCTCTGTAAACATTCAGGTTTATTCAGCCCTTTTTAATGTGAGAGAACTTGTTTGGTGCACAATGTCTGCAGTCACGATAAACGTAAGCTGTTATTTCAGTCATGAAACTGAAGGGGAATCATCTTGTAGCGTCCATCTTCATGACCCAAATCCATCTGCAGTTTCTTCTATCCCAAATGTTATTATGCAATCATTGTTTATTAAGAGTTCACGTTAGTGCCACTGTTGACATAATGCTATATAAGCTATATATTGAGTGTATGCAATTACACTGTTTTAAAGGTTTCCATTAATCTACAATGTATGTTGAATATGTAAAGAAATGAACAACTCTGTAAATAAGCTATTTGTAATATTTTAACTAACTAATATTCTTTTGTATATCATTTGCTGCGGTAGAACATCATTTAAAACATATGAAAACCTCTTTACAGCAATAGGTTCTACATGAACCCGCGACTTCAGTCCATTGTGCGATTCCGACTATGTCATAAGCAAGTGTTGATGATGCCAGGTGATTACAAAAGGTTCAACGTTTTCTCTCACATAGATGTCATCCGTCAAAAACACATGCAAAGGCAACTCAAGAGTTCACCTGAAACAAACATGAAAACATATGGTACATGTCAAAATAGGGAATTGCATCGGACATAATTTTTGTCACCGATGAGTCAAATTTGTCCTCGATATGTTTGCCATCAAGGTTTTTTTTAAAGCCTTACTAGGGCCTTGAATGTTGTTACTCTGCTAAAACCACAGAATCGATATAAACCCGTCCTGTAACGTCATCCTACAGGTAAGTCTCGTTTTATCTTTTCATCAAACAACATAATCTTCCCGTCCATCGGTAAGTACACAAACCCCGAGGATAGGTAACATGAGCTGAAGTACATTCATCAAGCTCATAACATATGCATTCGCAATATGCAGTCGCCATGCCTCACGCCAACTTCGTATTCAAACAGTTCAGACATGACCCACATCGCGATAAGAAACATGTAGCCCGCATTTAACACGTTAAGTAATAATGCACCAATCTTTCATCTTCTAGATATAGATATCCCAAATCCAAAAGCTACACGTAAGGGGCGTTACACATACACCTCGTATCGCACCAAAGCAACAGCATTATGATTATGAGACACCCTCTCCACAAGGAAGAAGCTACACGTAAGGGGCGTTGGACATACACCTCCCATCGCACCAAAGAAACAGCATTATGAGACACCCTCTTCCCAAGACAGAACTCAATTGAGCATGTGGCACTCAGACTTTCTAATTCTATAGGAGCTAAGAAGCAGGTTAAATGCTAAACGACTGACCATCAGTAACAACCAGAGAGCGATCAGAAGCTAGAAAAATGTTTTTGTCACAATACAAATACACATCTTCGCCAACATCAACTCTGGAGTTCAGCAACACTTTACTGTATGGATGACTTGTGCACCGTTGCACGTTGGTCAAGGAAGAGCTTTCGATCAGTCATTTATTCATTGTAAAACTGATCCATAGTTTTGTCAAATGACTTGTCATATACTTCCAATAAATACTGAAGTACTTTTGACAATCACGGCACACTAGTTGTCCCAGCAGTAGTTCACTTTGTTTCCTTTTTGTCAGACTGTTCACGGAGACTCTCCTGCAACTGCCTCACCGTCGTTCTGAAACACCTTTGACAGTGGAGTTGCTTGTTTTCTTTCCTCGTGCATCACCGTCTTTTAAAAAGAGAGCAAAATTCACTTATAGGGACAAAGTGAAAAATAAATTCTGGCGCCTATTCTCCTAAGACGGAACAGTCTCATGTCTCATGCTCTTGGGCATCTGTGAGTGGTCGACATTGCGGTATTTTACAGCACTAGTGTTACCGACGATTACAGTCAAGTGTCCACCCTTCCCCAAGGCTGAGATTTCTTGGCTCGATCGTAGCATGACAAGTCGCTCCTGCAAGTTATGCCCCTTCTGTGTCCCTCCTATTGACAGTCAGATTCCACCTCTCGTATCACTTGCATCAGCTTTAAACAAAAGGACGGCGTCCAGTCAATACCATCTGATCAAGTTGATTGACTACCCTACTTCACAGACATCCAGTGCATGTGAATTGAACATAACATACAACCTGAGAAGATAATGTTTAAGGACAGGATGTCGATTTCTTCACGCGATTTGGATTGGACAATGCATAGACATGTTAGTCCTGCCAAAATATAACTCAGAAATTCAAGCAGGGTTTAGCAATGGTGGAAACAAACTTTTACAGTTATTTGATTCCTTTGCAACTTGAAGATTGGTGTTCCCGTAATTCGACTGAGAAATTTGTTCTCAGGTGATTGATCACTTATGTGTGAAAGAGTTACATGGCAACAAGTTGATGTAGAACTAGTAAGGATTTGGGTTCTTTGTCTCTGCCTCACATCGTGACATCACCCCTGGGCGTGAGCATTGACATCTCCGACCTTTCGTTGGCAACATCTGTTCTACTGTACACATAAACTATCAGTCAATCATGATTCATCTGTGTACGACAGCTGCACTAGGCAACTACATGTTGGCAGCAAATACAACACGTTAAAGAATATATCAGTTTTATTTGAAACTTGCTAATGATATTGATCGACGTAATTTTGCACATACAGAACAATTATTCCCCTTTGCCAACATATACAAAGAAACACGGTGACAACGTAAAACAATGCATTTTGTGCATACATAATAATCACATACGAATACATAGCAATTATCTCCCTTTACCAATATATACAAAAGAAAAATAATTTTGGATATATCACATATACAAAATTGTATATTTTTATATATATCAATTACCCATTATGGTATATTTTTTCATATATCATCTATCCATAATTATTTAGGCTTTGGATATATCATCTATCCAAAGCATATACAGGCTTGTAGATCTGGATTTTGTTTTGCAGTGACAAATACTGCTGCATAACTATGAAGAACTATTTGTCCTAACATGACAGGAACATCAAAATTCTAACAATGGTTCAACATTCATCCTCATTTATAATTACATATGCATTTGAAGTTTCAAATTCGCTCATTTTATACCTTGGTTTTAATTTACTTTTTCATTTCAAATCAACAGAGTATTTTTATTTTATTTTCCACACGAAACTTCTTGACATAAGCACATTGAATCTCTCAGCGATGTAGTTTTCAATATATTTTAGTAAAGGTTCAGCTGTAAATTTGTTTTGCTACCATAAACAAATTACCAACGTATTAAAGCAGAACACTACGATTCTTATGTAGATACTTTCTTGGCTGATTGCGTATCAACATGTGCCGCCGGTGTTTATCGTTGTTCGTTCTTTCAGTCACTGGTTTGTCTTGGAATGATACAACAACGGTCAATCTTATTGTCTGCTTTAATCCGATCGAATAAGAATAAGTACATATAGTTTCAAACTTTATACTAAATACATACACCGCTGATGTCATCATAATCAGATGAGAAAAATATGTATTTAGTATCTGTTTAATGTATCTAGTATGTAAATATTACCACGTAAACGAATTAAACAACTACAACTAGTGTGTATGTTTCCTTCTTTCAGTATTGACGGAAAGTACTTTTGTTCTTCACACAATGGTTCTTGCCAGTTTTACTTAATCACTCGGCATGATATGATTTGTTTGTTTGTTAATTGTTTAGCGCCGAACTCCAATATTCCAGCTTTATGAAAGCTGTCTGTAAAAAATCGAGTCTGGACCAGACAATTCAGTCATTGACATCATGAGCATCGATCCACGCTATTAGGTTACGATTACATGCATCAACCAAGTCAGCGAGCCTGACCTCCTGACCCCGTTTGTCGCCTCTTACGACAAACATAGTCGCCTGGTACGGCAAGCATGGGTTGCTGAAGACCTATTCTATGGCCGATCTTCACGGGTCCAGCATGCTATGAGAGGTCTCTGGTTTGATCTTACATTGTACAATGAGCTCAAACATCGCGTAACAGTCCACATTCAAAACACAAAGTCCAGCTTAGCGCATTATTTGTTTATTTTTTAAAAAGATCAACAAATAGGAACATGTAACTAAAATAAATGGATTGTACAGAGGACATCAATGATGAGATGGATTGTAATACAGATCGCCATTCATTAATTAAAAACAAAAGTGAAAAGGTTACTAGGATATATGCTGAATATAGTGTTTAAGCAGTTGTCATTCTACCACGACCATGAAAAATACTTGATTCTAATCGGTTCCAAAACACAATAACGACTTTTGAGTGAACCAGTCAACTCCACTGAAGCTCATATTTACAGTACTGTTTTCTCAATCACTGCGGCTGGGCGTTCAAGAACAATGTTATACATAATATTAGAAAATGCATAGCTGCGGTTTCTACAGAAGTGATTCTAAGTATGCATGACAATACATTGTGAAAGTATAAATTGACAAAAAACATATAACATCGACGATTAACATTACATTTAAGGAACTAAAAATTCCATGGTGGATACATGTGTTTTTATAAGACATGTGGAATGTTGTATTTCTTGTCGAAAAGTGTATAAGCAACGGCATTTCCCTAAACATTTGAACTCTCCACTAAAAGTAGAGTCCATGATACGGCTGTGACTATGTCATAAGCATGTGCTTATGATCAATGTTGGATAGTAATTTATAAACACAATTTTCATGATATACATGTAGTTGGAATCGTACAACAGGCTCTGGTTTAAGTGGAATTTCTCATGATTATGGAAATGAGTTTTGTAGAGATTTGTAAATAGAAGCGTCAAATCCTACCATTATCGTAAGACATCTCTGCTCAAGGCAAAGCTAGTACATCTTCTAAATATGTTTATACATGAATGTTCTCAACGCACACCTTCGACAGATATTAAAAGTATATGAACATACGACAATTCGAAACTCTCACTTTCCAAAATGCTAGATTTGAGCAAGGTACTGCTCATTTGCAGTGTGCAGGCAACGCATCTGTAAGTTGTGTTGATTCTTATGTCATTTCTCTACCCTCTGCATTGCCGTTCTTCCCTGTAACAGAAAGAAATGGCGTTACAAATAGGATAGGACTTTTGTGCCACGCTGAAAACCCACAGGCCCATAGTACAATTCTGTTTTCGGTAGAGGTTGCAAATATGTTTAACAGGTCATATTCTAATTAACATAGCATGATAAATGAACAGTGATACTTTTTAAGGGTATGTTTATCAGTTGTTAACATCATCGATATACATTTTTTATCAGTGTGATGTATATTAAGACAAAAGGCAAGACTAACTAACGAAACTCATCTTTCACATTTAAATCACATTTAAATCTCTTAAATCAATTCTCTAGCTATGTTTCTATGTCTGCCTGCTTGGATCCATATTTGCGCTGAAGTTATTCTAAACATTTTTAATTTGATAACAGTATTCATGGGAAATATTTCCCTTATACAAATATAAATATGTGTGATATTATTACTGCTGTCACTGTGAATACAATCTTATACTTAAACAAGATCCGCTTGGCAGTGTAGCGCACCTGATTTCTTTACGGAATTGTAATGAGGTTATAATTGAAGGGCCGATTAACGTCAAAAACCGCATACTTTCTCTGATTTATAACCTTCACATTTGGTAATGCTACATGCGAAGATCGGGGTACTTGCCAGAAGAGACACAATGCCAATACTACGACTACAATGGTGGCCTTGTCGGCTCGGATTTCTGGGGATACTTCTAGAGTTATGTTTGCTTGCATCATCAAGGCAATATTGTTTCACATTCGTAGGCCTAAGCGTTTCGAGACAATGTGGTAGTATGAGACGGTGTGGTAGAATGTAAAACTTTTTGACAGAATTATGATGGGAAACACTCTATCAGACTTGAAGTTACAGTTGATGTGAGCTAACAAACTTAAGACCCTAGAGAGTGAGTTCAATTTCCATTTATAAACAGTTATAACAAGTATCTTGAATGTAAAACATCAGTGTCAGAAAGATCGTTATGTCATGTGATTATGATATCATGGTAACTGATGAAGTCACAATAGTCTCATCATGGAAGCCAGTTTTGGAGTGATAAATGTTTTCCCCATTCTATTGCAAACAAGGACTGCAACATTAAAATGTATTTACAATGGCAAAATTGAAAATGAAACTTGTTTTATCGGCATAACTGTAGTTACATCATGGAGTGTCAGCTTTTTGTGAGAGTAAAGGGCAAAAGTGGTAGTCATCACACCTATTTGTTTTTCCCTCATCTAAAACCATTACAGCTCTTTCATTGTGTGGTATAGTTGTTTATTTACCCTTTCTATTTTTCTTTTTGCATACGCAGACCAACGCAACAACGATGATGATGACGAAAACGACTCCCCCGACAGCAGCAGCTACAGCTATGAGAAGAAGCTTCCCAGACTCACCCTGGCATCCCGACTCTGAAACATACATTATAACACATGTTTTCTGGATATAATGGGTGAGTGATTGTTGTTTTACACGACAGCTAAATATATTTCAGACATACGAGTATCAAATCTTGACCAGACAAACCAGTGGTTGATGTTATGAGCACGTATTCGCCCGTTCGAGTACAATGACAGTCAAACAACAAATGAGGCCACGCATTGTAGATCTGAAGCTTCATTTTCGTCGACCTTTATCACTACATAGGCCAATGGGGATTCGCATAAACATTACACAACCTACCAAAATCAATAACCTCGCCTTTTGATGTACAATCGAGCATACTGTCTCTATAAAGTTAGCGTCATACGACTATTGTTCAAAATTTGTTTCATCAGGGTTACAACATGCAAGTCCTTTGTATCGCTTTCAAAAAGGATTTTGGTAGACATGAGGATTTCCAAATTTGACGCATCGTTGACAAACATTATGTCCGATACTACTAATGACTTTTTCGTGTTTTTCAGATGAACAACTGACTCGCCTTTCCCAGTGTTTTTGACGAATGACACTGGTAAACGCACGATACGCCTCACTTTCTACGAACACCCGGTATCATTGCTACTTAATAGTGATTTATAACTACCTGCTTATGATATTGAGTTTTCTTATAAGTATTGAAAGGGTTTTGTCACAATTATTTTACGGGACTAGCTCGGTTTCAAAGGGTACGAATATCGACCTTATATAAAGTGCCCCAGTTTACATCTGAAGTACCAATTGCAAACAGTACTTCACCTGTTCCTGTTTTCCATGTGCCCTTGTTGTCGGACACGTCACACACCAGACACTTGTTTCCAGATTGTCTCGCCCCATGGGAAACACACGTCCCTCGGTCCAGGCAGTATGGACCCTGGTGAGGAAAAACAAATTTCCTGAGTCTCACACCCACCTCCAGATATAACTAATTGTAAACGTAGTTTGAGGTATTGATTGTCGTGGTCGAAATACAAGGTAAATTTGGGTTTTGCGTTTGCTTTAAGTTTCCCTTATAAACAATCCAAGTACTTCATACTAATTTACCTTCACTGTCCACTTGAACTTTGTTTCGCGGCCACCATCAGCTCGGATACATGTACTGTCAAACACAATCAGGCCCACACTGTCACTATAGTTACCGGCACTGTTGGCAATCGATATCCGGTAGGCACGCACATACTCGCTGTCCTCACTTCCGGTGTTGTCATTGGTCACAACTTTACACTGCGCATGACCGATGTTGACCACGGTTGCTATGTGTACTTTTGATACAACGATTTCTTGTCCTGATTTTCTAACCTGAAAGTCAATATTGTAATATATTATGATTTATATAAAATGTAGGTTTTATTTGCCAACAATTAACAGAGTCACTGAAATAAAAATATGTCCCCAGCACATAAACCACTTCTTGCTGCGAAATATGTTAGTTGCTCTCGAAACATGAAGTAAAGAAACATTTCTTTAAAGTGAGTTTGAATCTTAAAAACTTAGAGTATCTTCAAGAAAAAACATCATTAAGAAAAGATCAAATTAACGAATGTCGCGTTTAGGACATGTTTACCCTGATCTCTTCAACCAAACATGTTGATACACCATCGACAAACGTCTCGCCTTTCACGGAAACAACGTCACATGCATCACGTGACATGTCACATGTGTCAACCGTTTCCGTTTCCGATAGTCGAGGGGGAGCTGTGAGGTCTACAGAACAGTCGGAGCCGCCATAGTTGGTTTGGCATACACAATCACCTGTGTTACAATTGAAGGGGAGGTTTCGAAATAAGAAATTTCTTATATACACTGTCCCACAGAAACATTAAATGAAGAGAGAGAGAGAGAGAGAGAGAGAGAGAGAGAGAGAGAGAGAGAGAGAGAGAGAGAGAGAGAGAGAGAGAGAGATTTCCTTCAGATGTCATTCCGAAGATTAAAATGAAAATATATTCAATTACAGGCGGTTAACATATATATATATATATATATATATATATATATATATATATATATATATATATATATATATATATATACACACACAATATTCTGAGCATAAAATACTAAAATACCTGCAAATCTAAAATCACGTCGTGCTTATCTGGGAATCTTACCATTTGTACATGTTCCTTTCCCGCTGCAGTCGTTCAGACAAGCCTCTGCCACAACAATGTCATAGACCGACATCTTCCTCGTCTCATTCTTAACCTTGAGTTCCGGGTCAACCAACACCTCTTGTAGACACTTGTCTCTCACCGTGTCGACGGAGAAACGAGAAAAGTCTGTGGTGCCTGTCAGCTTCGAAAGGAATCCCAACAATGACACCACTGTTAATGTGTTCTCATATGATACAAATTGAATCTATATTCCCTGACGGTATATATTTCAGGAAAAGAAATCATATCCATACAAGCAAAATGATATGTTGAGTGGATGAAGCCCACGTTCTTTGATGTTGTAAGATGATAGCAATAATTCAAATTGCATTTCACGTGCAGTACCTGGATGTCCACTTCCATGTGCAATACACCAATGTCTGCTTCTATGTGCAATACACAAATGTCTACTTCCGGGTTCAACACCTGAATTTCTATTTCTATGTGCAATACCCAAATGTCTACTTCCGGGTTCAACACCTGAATATCTACTTCAATATGCATGTGCAATACCCCAATGTCTACTTCCGGGTTCAACACCTGAAAATCTTCTTGTGTGTGCAATACCCCAATGTCTACTTCCGGGTTCAACACCTGAATATCTACTTCCATGTACAATACACTAATGTCTACTTCCGGGTTTAACACCTGAATATCTACTTCTATGTGCAATACACCAATGTCTACTTCACGGTTTAACACCTGAATATCTACTTCTATGTGCAATATACCAGTGTCTATTTCCGGGTTCAAAACCTGAATATCTACTTCCATGTACAATACACTAATGTCTACTTCCGGGTTTAACACCTGAATATCTACTTCTATGTGCAATACCCCAATGTCTACTTCCGGGTTCAATACATGAATGTCTACTTCTATGTGCACACCTCAATGTCTACTTCCGGGTTCAATACATGAATGTCTACTTCTGTGTGCCATACACCAATGTCTACTTCCGAGTTCAACATCTGAATATCTACTTCTATGTGCAATACCCCAATGTCTACCTCCAGCTTCAACACCTGAATATCTACTTATATGTGCAATACCCCAATGTCTACTTCCGGGTTCAATACATGAATATCTACTTCTATGTGCAATACACCAATGTCTACTTCCGGGTTCAATACCTGAATATCTACTTCTATGTGCCATACACCAATGTCTACTTCCGGGTTTTACATCTGAATATCTGCTTCTATGTGCAATACACCAATGTCTACTTCCGGGTTCAACACCTGAATATCTACTTCTATGTGCAATACACCAATGTCTACTTCTGGGTTCAACACCTGAATATCTACTTCTATGTGCAATACACCAATGTCTACTTCCGGGTTCAAAACTTGAATATCTACTTCTATGTGTAATACCCCAATGTCTACTTCCGGGTTTAACACATGAATATCTACTTCTATGTGCAATACACCAATGTCTACTTCCGTGTTCAATACATGAATGTCTATTTCTATGTGCAATACACCAATGCTACTTCCTGGTTCAACACCTGAATATCTACTTCTTTGTGTAATATTCCAATGTCTACTTCCGGGTTTAACATCTGAATATCTGCTTCTATGTGTAATACACCAATGTCTACTTCCGGGTTCAACACCTGAATATCTACTTCTATGTGCAATACACCAATGTCTACTTCCTGGTTCAACACCTGAATATCTACTTCTTTGTGTAATATCCCAATGCCTACTTCCGAGTTCAACACCTGAATATCTACTTCTATGTGCAATAAACCAATGTCTTCTTTCGGGTTCAACACCTGAATATCTACTTTTATGTGCAATACACCAATGTCTGCTTCCTGGTTCAATACATGAATGTCTACATATATGTGCACACCTCAATGTCTACTTCTAAGTGCAATACCTCAATGTCTACTTTCGGGTTCAATACATGAATGTCTACTTCAATATGTATGTGTAATACCTGAATGTCCAAGATACAGTTTTCTATGCTGCCGCTGATGCCAACGCCCGATACGTTTTTGCACGCTTGTACTGATTGCGATTCCTGGAATAACTTCTCACAGAATGTCTTTGCCTGGACCTCTGTCCACCCGTCCGACCACACCTTTGCAGCTTGCTGCGCAAAACACATACAATGTAGTCGCAGATTAGATTGGTATAACAGTCCAAAAATCTTTTATCCAGCATATTTCTTTTATATGATTGGTTTTAATCCTTCGTTTTGTATAATTTATCAATGCAAGTAAGATCAAGGCCACTTTACAGGTAGATTTCAGCTTAGATAAACAATATATTTCTTGTAACATTTTAATAAAAAAGTACATGTTTCATAGATAACTGGGGATTAATCCAATATTTCGTTGATGTCTAACTCTGAAATATACATCATTGTAAGTTATGGCATAATAATAGTAATAACAAGAGTGTGATATCACTGTTGAACGTAGTCAGGCGTAACTTTAGTCAAATGATATTCCGAGAGTGAAAGTAGAAAGTTCTTTGCTTCAAACGTATCCAAAGAAAAAAAACATAACAATAAATATTATGACTACTATAGATTCTTTTCAATAATGACAGCATCAAATATAAAACAAGTAATTGTTAAAAAATGGTTTTCTTACCCGACGTATTCTCCTTGGTGATTCCAAATGAACACCTGCAGATCTTCTCCGGCGTCTCTCAGTTATAGTGCACGACGTCGGGAACACTTCTGTGAAGCCCGGAAGGGTGGCACACACCTTATGAATAGCTGCAGTGCAATTTACTGCTTCAGTGAGTGTAGTAGATTGAGGATCCGGGGAACAGGAACAATAAAGGTTTGTCCGTGGCCACGCTGGCAGTGATGTAAGGGCGTTCGGATCAAACAGGTTACTTACATTATCGACCCTATAAGTTTCATTGTCAACCCTATAACACACAAAGTACATAAACATTGTAATAATCTCATCCCGAGTTTCAGAATTCATCCGGAGAAAATTTATTTCTGGCCATATTATCACAATATAAAAAAATTAAATGTGTAGAAATGTATGTGTACAAGGTAAGATTTGTCGGTTTCGTGTGGATTACGGGGAAGAATCATTCCCCTGTTTAATGTGCTTGTAAAGAGAACCAATTAATGAATTAATACAACGCGACTTGGCTGATTGTGCGTCGTCGTTCCCTGGCGGTGTTGCTCCGTGCTTATTCTATTCTGTGAATGTCAGGTTTTCAGATTCAGTTCTTTACATCCGCCTCTAGACATCTGGAATATGTTTAACTGCAGTTCCAAAAAATCAATAACAGGTAAGATAAAATAAAAGTCTCACTTCCATGAGTTCGAGAATGTTGTGAGAAGATTCTGCCAGTTGTTGTATGTAGTTGTGCAGTCACCCGTAGCCGTGACGTCTGAGGAGTAGGTGCCGTCCCTCAGGAAAAAGTCGTCGCTGCAGTCTGCTGATAGTGTCCCACAGAGACCACGGGTGTTATTTACGTCTTGGATTGACGGGTAGATGTAAACGTTCAGGTAGATGCCATAGACAGTCACTGTCACTCTTCCTCCAGTGGGCAGATACACCTATGGAAGAGTGTACACATGGCAGCATCACTATTTTATAGTGATTCGTACACACGTGCTCATCACATGCTTAAAACTTTGCAATTAACCATTCAACTCTCCTCCACCATAAGTGCTTTATTAAACCTGGCATGTAATATTGCTCTATGAATTGGACCACATTCAACAAGTCATACATCACATCCATGCATGTATGGATATTGCATTCTACCTGTGCTAGTACACAGCCAATCTATTTGGATTTCTGTTCCATTATGACAATACTATACCAGGGGAACTACTTCTGTAGGTTTATTGATTACATATTAAGGTATTGAATATTTCCAAGAGTTTCATCGAGATGTCTGAAAGAGGCCGTAAATTGTTTCAACAGAAAATGATTTAACATGATGAAATATTTCGGAACCCTGACATGACACACGGAGGTCCATATTGCAATGATGAAGTATATTTAATTTAGCAACATCAATAGTCATCGACTGAATATACGTGACATCAAGTGAATCTAAGGAAATAGTATAACAACAAACATAACAAATTATCATGAATTACCTCATAACTAGTGCCCTTCTTTTTGACCTGTAGTACATCTCCACTGTCTTCACACAGTGTGTATTCTATTGTCCAGATACTGGACTGTCCCGCGCACCTGTTAAACTCAAACACCGTCCTGCCAGCTCGTATAGCAACTCCACAGTTACACCACGCGTTGTACGTACCGCTTCCACAGTCCGCTGTCTGTATTTGAACCTGTAGTGATAATGTCAATAAACTAATGAATGCATTGTTTCTTATAAAAGATCAAACTCGGTTTCATGGTTAGGTATTATGCAATATAAGGGACAAAAGCATATCCATAATCATAAGATATCTCCGCTGATAGCATTTCCAGTGTAAGAGGGCGGATAATTTTATTTATCACATGCCTTTCAATGATGTAAGGCATATTGCATGTGCCAAAGAGCCAACATAGAGACGGTCATATCACAGGGGGTGTAATAACCAGACCCGTCTTACACTTACTGCCGGGTTGAAAAAAAATTGTCATTGCATTTGGAATTTTGCTGAGCAGTTGATACATTTTGCAAAGCAGTTGCTATATTGTGTAGCAAAATGTAGCAAAATGTAGCAAAATATCGTCTTTTTGCATCATGATATACTTTTATGCGGGTTGGCGTAGTACCCCAATCATTGGGGTCTGAATCTCCATCCTCCAAATATAAAACGTTTGAATCCATACCTTTATGCAAAATCACAGTTGTGTAAGAATAATATCAACATGTTGAATTCTATGTTCCTAATTCCAATGGCAGTACCATGCAAATGTCTGAGATCAGGAGGAAAAACTATAAAGTTCAATCCCTTCACACTAACATGAAATTGAAATTTCATGGATAAATGACGTAAAAGTTTAGATTTAGAAAGACACGGAGGACACGCAGACCTACATCTAGTTATGGGGGATCAACTAATACAATCAGGACGTTAGTGGCAAGTATCAAAATATATTTACCAATTACACTGAGGTGGCTCAATGATTACCCTTTTAGGATTTTTATCATAAACAAATTCTTATCAAATCTGATATAACGAAGTTTGAGGCATGTCTTGCCTGTACGTTTGTAAGAGAAAATAGCAAATCAAACACAATAATTCCGAGATATCTGTCATGTTCATTAAGTACTGATACATACCTCAATGGGAAAGGTTGTGTGCTTATACATAGTGAAGACACCTTCATATTGATGTTCGTATCGCCTGAATGGTAGGAGTAAACAGGATGTCAGTCAATGCTTGAAAACATTTAGCCCAATGTCAAAAAGCGAAATCTATACATTATCTTCCTTCATCGTTAGCTTGATATCCCCCTGACAGTACATGCATCTTTTTTTGCAAAAGGGTCCTGAATATTTGGTGGCGATAGGTCGATAGTTCAATTGGTAATGGGTATGATCTTTGATTTGTCTTCACACACTTGGTCGGGGGTTTCACAACAGTAAGAGATAATATGACTTAATACGCTGGCTGCAATGCCTCATGCTTAACAAATTGAAACAGAGATGCAGTACTTGCCAGAATTGTACAGCCAATTCATACTGATATCATTTTGTAAATAGGGGACATCATACATTCACATGGCAAAATGACTTTTATCTATGAGTGACTAGTTTTCACATGATACAAATGTTGATTTGAATTTCGACTGGATAATGGTTCATTACAATAAATATAAGTTGTTTTTTTTCTTGATGAGAAGCAGTGAGACAGTATTCTAATAAAAACTTTACACTCTATTGGTGTTTGTTCATGACATTATACTCTGAAATACAAATAGCTACACATGAACCATCAGAAAGATTTACCTTCCATCAAATGTTTGTATGTGTGGGTCATTGATAGCATAACACGACTTCCCCGCAATCAGCGTGGTGTTCTTTTTCAGCTGAACCTGAACATACAGGTAATATAATCAAACCAGATGTGCAAAACGCATACTTAGAATATAGCTACTCATTCTTTAGACAGTGGACCTCCAATGTCCTTTGTAACACATTTGTCGTTTCTTTATGTTTGTATTTTGTTGCGTTCTAGTTCTTCATCTTTGCAAATGTTCATATATGACAGAGCCGTGTATATCATTTACAACACACGTTCGCCGCTCTATGTCAAAAGGAAAATCTTAATTTTACCGTTATGATGCCGAAAGTGTAGTTGGCCCAAAACATGTTGTCAAGTAGTACGTCAGGGGTTGCCAGCTTCAGTTTCAAGGTGTTACTTGATGATCCAAGGCTCTGAGAAACCTGACCAAATACCCTGATCGTGGCAGCTTTATCCCACTCCGAAGCTGAAATAACCTTTCCACAAGTTGAACTTGCCAATTTCGCTTCTGCACAATCTGGCGTGATCTCTGAAATAAGGATATCACTTTGTGTTAACTAAACGCTGACATACATCTCACCACCACGACCAAACGGCGTTGCCAATGAGCGTGGCGCCGATCTTGATATTCACCAGCATGACAGTTGAGATGAGTGTACAGGGAAGATGAACTGACCTCGTGTGACAGGATACCTCAAATGGATACTTTCCCTTTCATGAACTGTTTTACCCTGTTTTAAAATCTGTCCGAACTGAGGTCATTTTTATATTACTCTTTAAATAGTATAATAGAAATAAGGCACACATGCTTTCAGGCATAATTATGTTGAGTCTTTCTGAATACATGATCATAGACGACTGTGTTTTACTGTTTACTGGAACATGTATAGTTGTGATGGAGCTGTGCCTCAATGATCAGGAATGTTATTAAACAACAATAAAGAAATAAACAAAATGTGGTGTAAGTTTCTCGGGTTTAATAATAACAGCTGATTGTACTAATAGATGACAATAAGAGATCAATAACGAGAGTAGCTGGAACAACACTTTGAAGATACCAACCAGATGCCAATTTATTCGGCTGCGAACAATAAACACCTGAGTCAATTAACTCAACACTCAAATGAGTGAATAGCCTCAGTTGGGTTAAATAACGTGGAAACAAACACAGGGGGCCTATCCCTAAAATAATTCACTTAGAATATAAAAGAGACGAGTACGTCTGAATATCAAACTAGTCTTATCGACTTTTACTTTGACTGAACAAGGAAATACTAACATTCCAAAAACATCTAGCGAATCACGGGAAGGTTGGATATCCACGGATTACTAGAAAAACGGAGTATTGGAAATACTAGTTACTAAGTAGCTGCACAATCACTGGGAGGTTGGTTATCCTCGGATTACTGGATAAACTGAGTATTACAAACCCAAGTTACTGAGGTTAGCTCAATATAACCAAAGCAAGTCAGAAGAAGTTCAATGGTGCTCCGTTTCGAACGAGACCACCCCGTAGCAAACCGACCCATACAAAACGGCCTGACGAGTCCTAGAGGATGAAGACAGAAGATCCTGACAGAAGTATAAATATACTGCATGCGGACCCCAGAGTGGACAATCTCTCTTGGACAGCCGGGGAATACATGAGACTGGGGCGTTTAGCCACATTGTGTTTCTAAACATGGGTGAAAACACGAATAGCAAACTAACTACTCTATGCATACTGACTATGTAAGTATCAAAATAAAGAGACAAAATTATCATAAATACATGAGAAATACCTGAGTGTACATATAAATTCCCCTAATGTTTGAAAATCAGAGTTACAAAAACATTTTCAATACAAGAATACGGTAGCGAACATGTAAGCGATAGCATACATAAAGTCAAAACATGGTTTGAGAGTATCATTAGATAACAAGAGAATGAAATAATCGGGCCACTAATGTCCTAACACAGAACGTAACGGCACTGTAGAATGACAACAGACGGACTTTGCCTGGCGGTGTCAGAAATAAAGCCGGGGAGGGGGGAGGTCACTGGAACGTGACAGGAAGAAATATCAACCCAGTGACACAGTTAACTGAAAGACATACAGTTCTAACGTTAACAACAAGACAAATTAAGAAGTTTGTAACTTGCTTTATACAGGTACGTACCTAGGTGAACAGATTCTATGTTTAGTTCACATCGACCAGGTTCAGTCCCACATCCAAATGGTGCCGTCAGCTGGAGGGATATGTCAGCGAACTCCCCTTCTGACAGCTCAAGTGTTTTATCAGATATCTGCAGGTAACAGTAAACAACAACTCACAGTGTCAATAAACTTCCATTTTGAAAACAGTTTCAGCTTGGACGCATAATTTAACGAATAGACAGCCAAGAACTTAAATATGTCCAAATCTCCTTAAGACTTTTACAGAATTGAAGTAGACACTACACGTTGATCAAGGAACTAAACTGTTGGTCTAGAATAAAAATATAAACAATATTATAATAATTAATTAATTAATCAATTAATTAATTATTGGTATGCGTGAATGTCAGGAAGAATGAAGGTCGTGCACATCGACCTATTATCGCACTGATCTACAGTCTCTCCTTAAATTCTCCCCTTAAGGCTACTGTGACAAAGCAGGAACTTTTATTAACAATTGGTCCAACGAAAATATTTACCTTAATCCCTATAAACTTGGAGTCTGACAAGACAGGAATACTGGCTGCCGTGTCTTCTCTGTGGCTAGCTCTGACTGAACACCGCAGCTGTTGTAAAAAGATGAGTTCAAAATGTTAAAAAATTGTATATATTTCCCTTTCCAACAAAACTTTCACATGAGATTTACATTTGTAGTTAAACTTAAAGCAGAATATTGACAGTTGACTTTCTGGCACAACCATAAACTGTCCATATTGGCTAGTCCTGAAGTGGTATTATACCAATACCATTATAGTTCAGGCTCTCCACCATCGGTTCCGTTACCAATTGAAGACTCTCGCGACTAAAGTTAGTTTGTAATCAGTGAATTATGATACCAAATATGTACCTCGAATCCAACTTGAGTTACGTGAACGCTGATCAGTTTAACCTCTGTCAGAGTATGTTTGTCTATAACGTCTCCATTGTCCCATCTCATAGCATCTTCAGTGAGGACAAGTTCGCCGTTAACGACCCAGTTGGTAGCGTAGAAGACGTCATCATCGTGTTTGCTGAACTCACAACGGAACTCCAGCTTGCTCGTATACGTATCATTGTGAAGTTGGGTAGTAACAGTGGGTTTCACGGCAAATGTTGGAGCTGCAACAATCAGGGTATAAAATATACTACTATGCTTTTTAATTGTATTATATTGTATTGTTTATACTATTATAATCTCCTATAAGCTTTTGGTGGTTCCTATTCATTTGAGTTTTATTTACTATAACTTTACATTGAATATCTTTTTGAAATATCGTTTCTCTCAAAACAGTACATGGTCAAAAATGTATTTTAAAAACTATGAAGTCCAAACGTAATTACTCACGTGCGCCTGGTTTACCTGCAAGCAAGGTAAAAATATATAAAAAAAACAATATTTTACAGATTATCGATAAAGTCTAAACTTATAGCTTGAAGGTTATTGGTTCTAATCTAAGCCAAACGTCTTCGTGTACATACCTGAAGTGGAAACTGAGCACAATTGCATGATAAACATGATAGGCTGAACTGCACAGGTCTTACAGTTTGAAAAATGGTGGATTTTCGATGAATAATAGGCATCACGGCCCGATATATTGAGTTTTGTCATATTGGGTTCTTTTGTACACACACACACACACACTCACACACACACACACAAACACACACACACACACATACACACACACACACACATATATATATATATATATATATATATATATATATATATATATATATAATCAAGTAATCCATTCTTCAAGCATTAATTGGGACAATTTATGATTTTCGATAACATCCCAGAAACTGGGTAAATAGGTAAGTACATGTATCTGATCGCAGTTTGACATAATATAATAACAATGTCCAACGATCTGAATTCCTTCCAATTTTGACAAACATCTGTCTGTTCATAGAGAGTATAACCTTACCAAAACAATATGCACTCGAGGATATTGTTTTCTGCAAATTAAATATCTCCTTCTCGCCGCACATTTTGGTTTCAATGTTCATCTCCCTGATACAGGTGCCGCTGTGGCTTTGAATGCACATTACAGAGTTGTCACCATTCTTTTCTGAAATGTATAACTATGTGAGTTCACACATGCATACAAATCACTTAAAATGTATTTTCCTCTCAAAAAGAAAACTTGATTTGATTTCACAAATTAAGTATGACAATTCCTAATCTAGAAACTTCATAATGTAAGGAGAATAACGATTTTCTGATTATTATTGTCTTTGGTAAAATGTACGTCAGATATGAAAGTTGTCAAATGTAGACACCATAGGCTGGAGCTGATGGAATATTGTTCGAAAGTCGAAATCACCTTCTTGTCAAACATGTTTTGTGCTTTTTTAAAAATGAATTGATTTATATTATACTTTTTAAAAAATCAAAGATTGACAATATACTTACGTTTTCTCCATATAGGGTAACGAGTACCACAGTGCTGGAAACCTGGTGCGGAGTCCAGCAATACTTTCCCTCCGGCGTCATACCACCCCTCTGTGAGCAGTCTGTCGTTGAGGGCTCTCTCACCTGTTGCTAGGACGTATTCACGGTCTCTCTTCTCAAGACTTGGAACTTTCATAGGATTTAAGCAGGGATCTGGAATGAGGCACCCATATCGAATCATTGTTATCTTTATGTATCCACTATATATCCGAAACAATTTCACTGATGAAAAGATCTGTGGATGAGTGGATGATGGACTATTGTGATATTCAAAATGGCCGCCGTGACAGACATATTTGTATCGGTATTGCAATACTTGTATATTTCTCACCTATTATCTGATTATCAAGATGGTATGTACAGATTGAAATCAAACATATATATGTAAATGGAGGTTACCTGCCCAGCATCCCACGATCCCGCACAAGTAGAGTAACACACGTACGTCTAGAGTCGCCATGTCTTTGCTTTGACTTCTTCAACAAAACAAAAGATCTGTTCAAGAATTTAGATGGACTGTGATCTGGATATGACAATTCAAGACCTAGTATTAACTAATAAACCAAGGCGTGATAAATAGGCGTGATTTTTATATTTATTAGCATATGTGAGGTTTGCAAGTAATTTGATTTCTCATGAGTCCAATATGGGTAACTTTGAGAAATGATAATGTAGAAACAGACAAGGACATACTAAACATCGCAACACATCCAATATTATTGTCAAAATAAGATAAGATACGATTGAGAGAGTGTGTGAGTTTGGTTTGGTCCAGCGCCTCTTTTAACAGTATTCCAGCTATATCACGGCGTGTCATCTTAATGTGGGAGGAAAGCAGGTCTTAGACGTTTACCACTTCGGTGAAATCCAGGGGCACGGGTATGGTGCTGACAAACCTAGAAACATAATCGGGTCGAACCGGGATTTAAACCAACAATCATAGTTTCTGGCGTGCCCTAGGGACGCAACTTTGCACAGCGAATTGCGGCGCCTTAGACGACTAGGTCACCCGTTCCCCCTGATACGATGGAATACACTTTTGTTCATCTGCAGGGTGATCAAATAACACATGCTGTCACGTGCTGCCATTAGAAAGATGCCCCACATGGGATTTTATTAGGAAAACACTACGGAACAGCCCGTAGCTCTGTGTAGCAACAAGTCGTTGATGGGAAGCACAGAGATACGCTAAAAGCAGCATTTGTGGTAGTATATAGGAACTAAAGCACACCCATTGTGATTGATGCAGACGCTCAATCACGACCGATTCGAAAATGTCTTGACTTGTATCAGATTATGATGCCATTTGTAGTATCCAATTAACGTTGTCATTCAAGTTGATCGAAGTTTGACGGTCTTTGGTGGTCTTGTTTGCGTACGGTCAAAAATCTTCCCCGACACTAACTTGTGTTTACATTGTCAGTCACTGTTCGAAACTGAAACACCGCCACCTTGAGGGCTATTTATAGTCAGGTTGGGGCTTTAACTCAGCTAATCTTAAACGTTTACCATTCTGGAGCAACCTATGAGCACGAGTTTTGTGCTGAAAACTAAGAATCATACTCAGGGCGAGTCTTGTAAAACGAACTTTTAGTGCCGAACTCCTCTTGATTCTGCCATAGACACATTTTATGCAATTGAAAGGCTACAATATCATTCCGGCGCTACAATTCAAAGTAAGTACTTCACACATCGAATACACTAGTTTTACCGGCAAATAACAAAAACCTCTTTATCGGCAATGTAAATACAAAGCGTCATCTTTACTTCTTTGTAGCCCTGCATTTCTTCGTGTTACCAAACAATCCTGAAACAGACTTGAGTGAGTGAGTGAGTTGGGTTTAACGCCGCTTTTACAGTATTCCAGTTATATCACGGCGTGTCAGCTTAATGTGGGAGGAAAGGTCGAAGAGATGCAGGTCTCACACTGCAAACACGAAAACGTCGTTTTTTTCCGTTTATGGTCATTGGACGGAAAAACGACGTTATTTGGACGCTTTCAAACCATCGTTTTTCCGTCCAAATAACGTCGTTATTTGACATCGGAATTTACTGGAAGAGAACGATATCATCAAGCTCCTCCCTTTCTTGATTGGCATTATCAATCAAGCAACAGCGTCTACCGGTATTCCTACTTCTCAGATTTCATTGGTCAGTTCTCGCGTGTTAGATTACAGGCCCGAGTTTGACGCTGTACTCGAAGCGCTTAGCGGAAGTACTGAAATCAATCGTTCTGCGCATGCGGATTGCTTAATGCCTTGTCCAAATTTTCCGTTCTGTGCATGCGCGATTTCGCGTATTGTTTCCACTATATGTCACCAATATTTGACAGTGATTCATAAACACAGTCTCGTGATGAGTTCGGAATCGTACAATGTCGCTTTAATTTATGGCACGTACTTTATCGGCGCGTATTTCCCATTAACAAATACAATGATAACGGTAATAATTTTAGTCAAAATAATTAGGCAAGCGCAAAGCTCAGGAACGTCTGAGTATAGGAAAAGGATTAATTTATACTTTCGAAAGTTATATACTCGTCAAATACGCTAAAGAATATCAACCGGCTTTTAAAACTTATTTTTGTAGAAGGTGATCTTGATGTTTATTGCCAGATAGTATATGCATATACATTTTCCCTATATTGCTTATTTTAATGTTTATTAATCGTTTTAAGGTTCGTCCGCCTAATTGACGGGATTCCACTTTCTCATTTGTACATGACACTTAAACAGTGTTCTGTTACTGTAAACTGATTAGTTTCAAATTCCAAACTGGTGATATCTATTCAGACTAATGCTTAGTCTCTAAAACTGTATAGTTTTGAAAGAAACAAGTAACTCCATTTAAATTGAAGAGGAGCCCCAGTTATATGGGAGATTCCGAGATGAACCTACTCCATGGATATCTAAGCTGCCACCCAAACCGACCCAAACGGGACCCGATAGCTTATTGTATGCTATATAGTCACATGGAAGGGCATTAGAATTACATGTATACATTGTATTCCGGACGATTGTGTTCTTTCATCTACTTTTAAATGTTGCCTATACACTAACTACTCATTGTTCTATTTATGTCATCCTATTATATATATATATATATATATATATATATATATATATATATATATATATATATATATATATATATATATATATATATATATATATATATATATCAGATATACTTTAACGCATGTTACCATTCTAAAGACATACTCTCATATAACCTTATATTGTTCATAGTATCAAAGTTTATTCAACAACATCAAGAACAGCAATTTAAACTACTGAAACACCCAAACACAAGGCTGTTATCAAGCGCTGGTGCAGACGTGATGCATCGTAAAAAAATGTATCGTGATGTCTTCAGAAATACAATTTCTTGCAACATTTATACTACGAGATAGTAAGGCTAGCGTTTACTCACCGGTGGAACGTAGACAATATCGCTAATACAGATATCACGTATTTGAATGTTAATACTAAAGACAACACTCATTATTTTTGCAGTGACGATATAACAGTTATACACGTTTATTGGTGACTTTCATCAGTTTTGCTATTAATTTTAATAACTTTGTTTTCACATATAGAAGTAGCAATACCCGACTAGCCTGTCATACATACTTATGGGGCAGTTTTCAATCTTGTACTGACTTACTCTGGTGTTCCTGAGGGGAGGTTATTGGCTTGGGTGTTATACCCCGTTTTTCTGGTAATCCTATTATTACTTCATTTTTATCTAATGACACCCTGTTCTCTTGATCACGGCTCCGTGACTATCCATAACAATTAAGATGAACATTCAGATCAAGTACATGAATGAGTTAGTTTTAAGGCAACAGTCAATCAAAGACCAATGATGTGCGGTTTGATTACACACTTCTACCAGGTCGAACATCGAGGATCTTTTTCTACCTAAAGAGAATCATAGTTCATATGCTAATCCATCTATTGCCTACGAAAACCGTCCCGCTCAAGATGACCTTACTTGTTGTTAAATCCATTCAAATGCGCTGAAATGTGCGTGTCAAGGACAGCTGATGTCCGATGCTGAAGAACCGTGTTCACAGCTGACCGACTTGGTATTTTTCTGCACTGACAGAAACTGGATGTACTGACACACAGCTGTTATAGATATTTAACTAACCCCTGATCAAATAGATGCCCTTCGTTAATCTATGTGTGGAGTACCGTATATACCTGTGATAACGATACCGGTGGCGATGCTGATGCTGATGGTGGTGGTGATGATAATGATGGTGACGGCGATGATGATGGTGATGATGATGATGATGATGATGATGGTGATGATATGCTGATATCCTTGCATTTTACAGTGGTGATAAATATTATCTGTGATTGCAAACTTTAACATTTGAAAAATGAAAACACATTAGGTTGATCATATGATCAAGGCCGCTGGCGTTGCCTAGTGGTAAAAGCGTTCGCTCCTCGTACCGAAAGTCCAGGTTCGATTCTCTGCATATCATAGGCACAATGTGGGAATCCCCCGCCGTGATGTTGCTGTAATATTGCTAAGGCGGCGTAAAATCCGACTCACTTAAACTCTCATAAATCACTGTGCCATTGCTAACCAAGGTTCTGCAGATGGCACCGGAGTATGTCAAGATTCAACTCTCGGTTGGTCTTATATATCTTATATCTCACTAGGTGGCGCTACTGGCTTCGCTATGTCGTTCATTCATCCACAGGGCTGTGTACATGAATGGCGGCACTTTCTTAAAGCGGTTGTCAAGTAGGAGTTTATGTCATGGGAAGTTCACCTCAACCGATTCCAGCAGTCCTGCTTTTATCTGATCCATTGACCTAAGTTTGTGGCTCTGTGACAACACGTACAAAAGAAAGTCTTTGTACAGGAGATGCAATTGGCTATTCATGGCATATCACAGGCTTTTACGGATTGTGAACCGGCCTCGCGATATCTAATCCGCTGTCCTCGCATAGATATTAACATATCTTCGAGATCTGTCTGAATGAATGGCGTGACAAGAGAGAGCGGGAAGTACGTTAACGGTTATGTGAAATATTAGAATGATTCCACCATAGAAGCCAAATCTTAAAGTTGTTTGATTCTTCGGTAGCATTTTAAATAAATGTTTGGGAGTAGTGCACTTTACCGGGCGCACTTTTTCAGAACCAATTAGGCTGTAGGGGCACGAACGCACTTCGCCGGCGCTATCACATGTAATCAGTGCTCGTTTAACAGGTCATTAGAATCCCCATTGACATGCTTGCGTAATTCAGTAAACAATGAATTGCGCATGCGTGTGACGTCACTGCCCGCTCTCCCATTCATCTTTTCTTGAAACCACACCCGCAATTGTTTATGTCAACATGACCGACCAATGGGATTAACTGGATTAACGCTTGAAAAGGTAAGAATTGATGGCTAACCCTTGCCCAAAGCCAGCTGACCCTAATGACCGAAAATGGGTTTTGGATCGTAAAGACGTGTAAGTTTCCCTAAGACCGAAAACGGGTGTTGGATCGTAAAGACGTGTAGGTTTCCCTAAGACCGAAAAACGGGTGTTTGATTGTAAAGTTGTGTAAGTTTCCCTAAGACCGAAAACGGGTGTTGGATCATGAAGCGAGAGTCACCAGAGCGTGAGGCACGGTAACGGTATAACGAGACAGCGGTGGCACTATAGCGCGGTAATTGAGCGGATGGTAGAGCTCGGGCTGCGCCCGGTAAACTGCATTGTTGCCAAATGTTGTTCACGAAAGGTTCCTGAATACATTAATCGAGATTACGCTATCCGCATGGATGACCTATTCCTGCATAGATATATCTAGATCGGTGACGCTAAGCCGGTGACCCGTACCCAGATCCGGACATACCAGTGAAACAGGCACTCACTCACTCACTCACTCACTCACTCACTCACAATGTATCAATCTATCAATCAAACAATCAATCAAAATGGAAATCGAGTGACGGATGCTTGACTCATTGTAAATCTTTGTACGCCATTGTATCGTTGCTAGTGGTACCAGATACCGGTTTGGGCTAGACGAAGCATTGACGAAGCAAAGAGTTTAATCAGACGTCTCCTTGAGGGAGACTGGTATCACACCTGTGATCCCTGGCGATAAGAAATATGACATTGCGTACCAGGCCAGCAGTTAGACGTATCAACGTATAATCGTAAATTCTCCTTGGCGTAATATATATCTTGCAGGTGTACGTAAACAGGATGTGTTTGGTAACTTGAGCAGGAAGCACAAGTGCACGAAGGGATGGTATTTCAGATGACAAATGAAAGAAGACAGAAAGATTGTGACCCAAATTTAGTGACTGGCGGCCGTATCGCACACACGAATTGTTATTAAATGTATCCTCGAGAGTCAGTAAGAAACTAGAAATAACTGCCTTTGTTCTGTAAATCTCACCAAGTTTCAGCTTTCGCCTCTTCCTTTGTGGAGTGAGGTTTCAAACCCACGAGCACGGGTATGGTGCTGACAAACAGAAACATAATCAAACCGTGATTCGAACAATCGTTTCTGGCGTGCCAAAGGGACTCAACTCTGCACATCGAATCGCGAGCCCCGAAACAGTCTTGAAGTCTGTGTGGTTTTTCTATGACAACGTAAAAGGCTGACGTCAAATGCACTCTTCAAAAAAAAGAAACGCACGGGTAGTCTTTCAGTAAATTTATTGTACCCACTAAAGTCGATAGTCACATGTTGTCGTTGTACAAAGGCATTGAAAACTGTTCATTGTCATGTCACATAAGGCCACAAGGTTGCGCTGAACTCAGTATCTCGTGTGACCGCCCCGGGCAGCAATCACGGCTCTGCATCTCCTCGGCACTGATTGGATAAGTGTACGACTACTGTCCTGCGAAAATTCTGCGCCCTTCTGCTTTGTTACGCGTTAGTCAGATGTGGGAGTGTCTGCAGCGTGTTCTGACGTTGACGTTCACGTCGATCGAGTTCATCTCAGAGGTGTTCGATTAGGTTCAGATCTGGAGATCTCGACGTCCAGGCCAAGTGTTGATGTTGGTATTATGAAGGTAGTCTACCGTGACACGAGTTGTGTGTGGTGGAGCGTTGTGCTGTTGAAACAGCTCCCTCTGGCGGTCATGTAGCGATTTGCTGTCAAATTTCCCTGAACCACAACCAAGTCAGATCTCGTGATGGAGGATATGTCCCCCCTCGCCATGTCACTACCGCCACATTGTGCACGACGACGATAAACATGTTGTCTTCGATCTCACCGGTGAAGAAGAAATCGTGATTCATGGCTAAACTACACTCGATCTCAAGTTTCTCAAATTCAAAGGTTGTAAGGTTTGGCACCAACGCAACGCTGTCGATGGATCTGTTGTAAAACGGAGATGATACTGGTCATCTGGTCGGATTCCAGCCTCGCGAAGATGGTTCCTGACAGTCTGGCCCGATATCCTCCTCAAACCAGGGATGCGCCCTGCAGTCTCCGTAGCTGTGGCATTGCGATGAAGTAGGTTGGACAGTCGAAAGTAGCGATCCTGTGCAGGGGTGGTAACTCTTCTTCGGCCGGTTCTCGGACGCTCTACAGTGGAATTGACCTTTGTGTATCGGTCATAAAGGCGGCAAATGTATATAATGGTGCTGTGTTGGACGTTGAAGACGCGTGCAACAGAAGACTGCGATTACCCTCTTTGGATACGTCCTATGGTGATGTTCCGATCAGCAGCGCTGAGTCTCGGTATTTTCGAACTTGAAAATGTTGTTAATTGAATGACAAATTATTTGCTCATGCCTTTATATAGCTACTACCACGAGCTATGAATGTCAAACTTGCACGTGCATTTTGCTTTACTGTTTTCCTCCATGACATGTTTGAACAAGTGTGAAGACAAGGCCGTTTAAGACATTGCAAATCGACAATGGCTGCGTTTTGACGCACCGTTTGTCGAATATCAGGCCACCAACATTTTCCAATAACATATATCCAATGTATGTACCATATTTCTTAGTCAGGTTCAATGAACTACAAACTACCTGTGCGTTTCTTTTTTGAAGAGTGTATATACTTCCAAGACAACTGAACGCCCGGTTAAAAGAAAGTCGAGAGCAAACAAGTGGAGCGAAACTGTCATGGTAGAATAAGTCTTAAACAATCCATGCTTGCGACTAATGGGATCGGGTGGTCAGGCTCGCTGACTTGGTTAATGCATGTTATCGTATCCAAATTGCGTAGATCGATGCTCATAATATCATTCACTGGATTGTCTGGTCCAGACTCGATTATTTACACACCGCCGTCATATAGCTGGCATATTGCTGAGTTCGGCGTAAAACAACAAACAAACCACCGATAAACGAATACGATAAACCTGTCGCAGTGTTAAATACAACTTTTAATTTTGCGAAATAAAATAAATCATATTCTTTAAAGTAAAACCGATTCATACGAAGTGTAAAAGTTAGATAGTTCTGGGTTTCGAATTCAATTTAACGACGCATCAATACACTGCCTTACATAATAGGGAATACGAAATCTGACCTATGACGTTCAAATGTTTGTATGTTCTGAAAAAGTTCTACCCTGCATTTACCTTACCTGGTAAGAGACTCCTCAACATCCCGCACCACATCTGAATCCTGCAACGATGTCCAATCTTATATACAAGATGGACAATTGGGCTACGTCATACACAAACACCTCAGCCAATTACATAGACTGCTAAACATTTGCATAATCTTACACATTAGGAGGGGGGGGGGGGGGGCTGGAGGCTAACAGCCATTGATGTAGAAGCTATATAAATGATGTGTGTGGCTTCCCACTTCAGGTGACTCAGGCACAAATGTTGTGTAACATAATAATTACGTAGGAATGTGGGTTTTCCAGCTGTACGTACGGGAAAATAGTGTCATGTATGTCACAGCGACTTGATGTCACGCGTTCATGTGATTGGCGGATAATCGTCTTCCTTCTCTGCAACCCGGAAGTTCTTGCAAACTTAAAACATGAACTTTTTATATTTTTAAGATGACGATGCGAATAGAGCACAGCATGGAATCACTGATAGCAAGTTATACATGTTTATGATTTTGTGAGTCAGTGATTTTGGTGGATGTGTTTGGTATGGGGCCACTTTCATCAATAATAATACTTGACCGTTTCTCTTGGGAAAGTCTCCAAACTATGTTTGCGCGAAACGCATGATAGTATTAACCCGGTTAACGGATCAATGTGCAATCCAATTGCATTATCAGCTCCCTTGGGATCATACAATTCAAAACCACTATTAGGTTTGCCTACCGGGTACCCAGTCGCTGCTGTGTGAACTTTCAAACATGTCACAGTGTGAGGCAGCACCAAAGTCTCACTAGTCAATCACAGTCTTCCATGCTACTCTTTGCCTGATATAGTTGGATATGAAAACGACCATGTCCCACATCCCAGTCACCCATCCTTATTACAGTGAGGGACACCATGAATATATTTAAGATGGCTATATTGGGGATCGAACCCGTATCTTACCTACAAAGGACTTTCCTTGAACTATATATCTGTAAGTCAAAAGTATGTTGGGAGTCGAACCAGTTTCTTTGGCCTGACGAGCCAGCGCTTAAACTACATGGCTACCAACCCACAAATAACTTGCCTTGGTCTATTTATCTGCGGGTACTCAGTTATACATTTTGGGGATCACCTGGTCGATCACTGTATCAACATGTGTATGTGATGCTTTATGTTTGTTATCGATGAAGATGCAGTTGCTTTTATTTGCGTCTATTCTTAATTTTATGTGTAGAGGAGGCCCGGTAAATCGCGTCCAACTGGAGTAACCTTGGTATTAATCAATGCAACGGAATAACACCGTCACCTACATGTATATACATACATCGTCATATGACGCGTGTGCCAGTGTCGTCTCGATGGGAATTAGCTTGGGTGTGTGTGTGTTGGGAGGAGGGGGAGAGGAGATTAAAGACAGCATCGGCATCACTGCTCCGGGACATTTAATAAACAATATATATACAAAAGTTAAAACAAAAAACGGAGCGGAGATCCAGCTCAGACATACATGAGGTGAGCGGATATCTAGTTAATCGTGGTAGAAAATACAGCCCATTACTAGAGATAAACATGTAGTCCGTGATTTGGGGTTAACGCCAACAAAATACATGAGTAAATTCTTGGAGGTTTATCACTCTGGGATTCGAACCCCAAATCATAAGATCCCGGCACGCCTAAGGGAAGCAACTCTGCACCTCTTCAGTAAATACAAAGTTAGTGTGTGTGTGTGGGGGGGGGGGGGGGGGGGGGGGGGGGGCGTGCTCGTTATAATCGTAATCGGGGCCTACGAACATATAGGTTTCTGTCGTGCCGAAGTGACGTGTCCAAATGCCTTTTGGACTTAGATTTCCCCAAGAAAGGTGAGGTGAGGTGAAATGGGGATAAACGCACACTGCGATACTATGCCGTAACATGAATACCCCACTCAGACACAGTATACTGACTCCGAGCCGACCAGTCCTTGTTTAACCCCTTAATGCCGAGAGAGTCAATTGTCTACCTGTCGCACTTGATAACTATGCAAGCTTCCTTGTCGCGAGGAGTTGGTTCAATGACAATGTGACACAGATGACCTTAACGATTGTGCATTGTGTGCTGCTGGAGTTTCGAGCACAGCAAGCCATAAATATTTAACAAATACAAAAAGGTAACTTCCTTAAGTGTTTTTTTGTCCAATCGTTGTATATAAAGCTATTTACACCCTGTACTTATGTGACAGTCTGTATATTGTTGGCTTTGGATAATATCATACATATATTCAGTGAGCTTCAGAAAACATTCAGGTTTATTAGGCAATACGTAATTTTAAAGACATGGTTTGATGCAAAATGTTTACAGTCAAGATAAACGTAAACTGTTATTACTGGGATCACCCAGACCAACGCAAAGACTGAAAATATAATATTTTGATAAAAACAAACAACTACATTTAAATTGAAAAGGAGCCCAGTAAGATGAGAGATTCAGAACCTGAACCTGGGAAAATCTAGACTTGCTTTATTTTTGGCTGGACGGAAGGGAAAATAATATGGTTCAGGGACTGTGAGTAGAAATCATCCTGTTGCATCCGTTTACATGCATTATTACATGTTATTATGCCGTGATTGTTTCTGAGGAGGTTATATCAACGCCTTTGTTGTCATGGTGATATATAAACTATGGGAATTCATTGAGCACGTACAATGGGACTGTTAGATACAGTGCGTGCAATGTATTCTTGAACTAAAAATTTGAGAAACAATGTGTAAAAAAGCTTCCATTTGTAATGTTTTAACTATGTAATATCCTATATCATAACATATATTGCGGAAGAGACAGAACGTCTTTTCAGGATTAGTGTGGAGGTGTGTTTTTTAGCAGGACAATGTTTTCCTATAAAAAACAGATTGCAGCAAAGAGATTCTTCAAAATAGCTTGTGACGTCAATTAACGTAAATAAAAGCTGAAAAGCCTTTCCATAATCATAAGACATCTCTGCTGTAAGGAGAGTCCATTGTGCGATTCCGACTATGTCATAAGTGTGTACTTATTAATCACTATGAAATACGGATGATGCCAGGTGTTTGCGAAAAGATGACCGTTTCCTGTTTCACAGGTCGCATCCGTCATAAAGACATGCAAAGCAGATTTGACCTAAAAAAACACGAGAACATACAAGTCAAAACCGAATTACATCGGACTTCAGCTTTGTCACTAATGTATCAGATTTGGAAATTTATTAGAGCATTACTAAGGCCTTGACTGTTGTAATTCTGATGAAACAAGATAATCACCCACCACTGTAACTTCACCGCTACAGGTAAGTCTCATTTAAGCTGATAATGAAACAAGCGAATCAGCCCACCATCGGTAAGTACGCAAATTCTGAGGAAAGTTTAATGTTGTAAGATATGAGCTACATGTATTTTGAAACAGAAACTTTCTAAATGCGATTGTGTATTCATAGCTTTCGGCCATGGGAGCCGTGTCATTTTACACTTGTCAGAGGGGTACACAAAGTATGTGATATAGACTACCAATTGTCGGACTTTCATTTTGTGGAAGCCTCGGTGGATGAGTGGGTTAGATCGCTGACGTGTGGTGGCGATTAGGTGCCTCACTCTGGCAATGTGGGTTCGAATCCCGGACGGGAGTCAACCCCCCAAAGTACGAGAATCTGTACTTTACTAAGAAAGTGATTTCCAAAATCTAACAATTGTTACATTTGACCACTTTCTAAATGGCATTGTGTATTCATCATGAGCATCGATCTACTCATACGATGACATGCTTCAAAACAATTCACCGAACCTGACCACACCATCCCGTTAGCCGCCTCTTACGACAAACATGGGTTCCTGAAGACCAATTCTAAACCGTATCTGCAAGGGAGTTTTAACGTATTCTACTCACCGCTTCTTCAATCACTCAAAATGAACGGAGCTTAAGCGCTGGAACATGTATGTCAGACCATAAATCAGCAAAGTATGCACATGGACCATGCAATAGGTAAAAAGATTGGGGAATACTCCCCGAAAAACAATACCTGGCCAGGAATTGTAGATTTGGAAGTTCTTTTTACACAATTCCACACTTCACTTAATCACTTCAGTACCGGAATTTTTTGTTCCTGGGTAAACGTCAAAGACCTGTGTCACTTCAGGCTTTTACCCAAATTTGATATAACTGATATAACTGAAATACGTTAAGCCCCGCGGCACCCACCCACTTGGTCTCCGCCGCCAGCATTACTAACCTCACGTGACCTGTAACCTTTGCTTTATCCACAGGGTCACATTCCAGCACAATGTAAGTGCAATACATGGGAATCACAAACAAAAAAGGGTGGTGGGGTATGCTGGTGGTCAAAGGGTTCGCTCGTTCGTACATACTGGCCACAAAGCGGTCCAAGTGTGAACATCCGGCAGGAGAGCCGCCATCTCCGTACGTTACATCTCCATGTGTTACATCTGCGTACGTTACATCTGCGTACGTTACAACTGCGCAGACCGTCATCAGCAGACGCACAGTGTCAAGACAATTACGTTCTGCGGGAATTCCGGCCTGCAGACCCCACCGCGGAATGGCCCCTGACCCCTTGACATAGGCGAAATAGACGTAAGTGATCCCAGGAACCCAGATTTGTTTAGTTGCTTTTCGTTTATTCATCGCATGTTAGAAATTTGTCTTTTGTTTTTGCAGCATAAATGATTTAACTTACAATTACATTTCAATTGAAATGTGTACATCTCGTTTTCGTTTTATTAGCAGTCCGTGTCGATGTATAAATTCTATTGATCAGTCGTTTACGTAACTAATAAGAATCGTTTAAGAATGAAGAAAGTACGATCAATGAAGGTTGTTGTGTGGCGCTGGTAACATGTCGAGGGTTGTGTGTGGAAACGAGCTGAATTTGGAGTCACCTTCCCTGGGTGTTGCAAATAAACATCCCAGGCCTGATTGTTCGAGACGTTTAGGTACGAGATAATTTTTAGAAGGTATACTGTAAGCAAACAATCTGACGATGAGGGACACCAGACACGGGTTTCACACGTTTTACTCATCTAGGCTTAGCACCACCAATATCACGGTGAGGGACACCAGACATGGGTTTCACACGTTTTACTCATCTAGGCTTTGCACCACCAATATGACGGTGAGGGACACCAGACA